ATCTGTAAATTCAAACTTAGTCTTTTTGTAGCCCATACCGGTTTATTATAGAATTTTTATGAACAAAGGGAAAAAAACATGTTAATATTTTTTGTAAAATAATATCTTGATATGCGAAATTCGGACAGGGTCTCAGTGTATTGTTTTCATTGTATCTAAACATGTAAGTTTGATTTTCTTGTCATTTTTGACTTGTATTAGGAATTCAGGTGATGTTTTCTTGAATATGAAAGACTGGCCAGGTCTTGTGTTGTTTCTTTTGCTTTTAACATATATATCTTTGTGGCGTCAAATGAAGATAAATAAATGTATTAACTGTGTGTTACTAAGTTTTAGTTTTAGTTAATATTAATGTTGTATTATGTGAAGTAGTTAGTTTTGCTCAGGTCTATTAGACCTTCCTGTTCCAACGGAATTGAGAAAATAATACCATCAAAGCAGTCTATATATTTATTGGATTGTTTCTTCTTTTAGAAGTGTAACGATGCATTTATACTTTATGTATTACTAATCTTTAAATTCAAACTTAGTCTATTTGTAGCCCATACCGGTTTAAGTTTAATGTAGAATTATTATGGATAAAGGGAAACAACCACGTTAATATTTTTTTGTAAAATAATCCAAGCCTGGTAATTTCCTCCGATGTTAAAAATTCAATAAAACTCCTTATGATTCTGGTAAGCATTTTTTTTGTTTATTTTTCACAGAAACTTTACCAGGAGTGTTCTCAAGAGCTTCCTAAAGTTTCATGGTGATATTGGCACGTTGGTCAAGACCCAGTGACAATGCAATCTGACATGAAATTATACTTAATTGGGTGCTAAATTAATCTTTAAAGAATTATATATATATATATATATATATATATATATATATATATATATATATATATATATATATATATATATATATATATATATATCGATGGTCTCGGTCGCAAACCGTCTAACTCAAAAAAATTCGATTTTCTTTTTTTTACATAAATCAAAAGCCAATATGATTCCCCATAATGCCTGAAAATATTAGAGAAATCTGTAGAATGATTATTGAGATATAATCATTTGAACAAACCGCCTATTATTTCTAGCGCTAAAAATCTCGGCGCAAAACGAATATCGCTGTATTTGTCAGTAAACTTTTGATCGGGAACGCAGTCGCAGGCCGTAATCACACAATTTTACAGCACAGCAGTCACAGTACTTATAAGTAAGGATATTTGATTAATTATGTTCAACTATTCTATGACATTTTATCATTTTAAATCATAATAAACAAATAGTATTTGTTTAATATAGCCTATTTCCAGATTTTCAATAACCAAACTGATTTGTTTACATTTTTTTAGGCTAACACAATGCTTTGAAACTAGATCTTCATTCTAGAATCTAAATATCAATCAAAACAATATAATTCGAATTATATTTCCACAAGAATGTGCAATAAATTTAATAATTGTTAATTCACTACTGGCTTTAGATTGAGGGTTTAGATACGTGTTAAGAAATGTTTATATGGTAGGATACAAAATGTTTGGCGTACATGTTCAACGACATGGTTAGTTGTTTTTAGTAGATGCTTTTAAGATTAATTTTTCAACAGACAAGCCTATCTCAACACACCAGCCTCTCTCAACATACCAGCCTCTCTCAACATAGCAGCCTCTCTCAGCATACCAGCCTCTCACAACAGACCAGTCTTACCACATAACAGACCAGCCTCTCTCAACAGACCAGCCTCTCAACATACCAGCCTCTCTCAACAGACCAGTCTTACCACATAACAGACCAGCCTCTCTCAACAGACCAGCCTCTCTCAACAGACCAGTATTACCACATAACAGACCAGCCTCTCTCAACAGACCAGCCTCTCAACATATCAGCCTCTCTCAACAGACCAGCCTCTCTCAACATACCAGTCTTACCACATAACAGACCAGCCTCTCTCAACAGACCAGCCCCTCTCAACAGACCAGCCTCTCTCAACATACCAGCCTCACTCGACAGACCAGCCTCTCTCAACATACCAGTCTTACCAGCCTCTCTCAACAGACCAGCCTCTCTCAAAAGACCAGCCTCTCTTAACAGATCAGCCTCTCTCGACATACAAGCTTCACTCGACAGACCAGCCTCTCTCAACATACCAGCTTCTCTCAACAGACCAGCCTCTCTTAACAGATCAGCCTCTCTTAACAGACCAGCCTCTCGACATACCAGCCTCTCTCAACAGATTAGCCTCTCTCAAAAGACTAGCCTCTCTCAACAGATTAGCCTCTCTCAAAAGACTAGCCTCTCTCAACATATCAGTCTCTCTCAACAGACCAGCCTCTCTCAACAGACCAGCCTCTCAACATATCAGCCTCTCTCAACAGACCAGCCTCTCAACATATCAGCCTCTCTCAACAGACCAGCCTCTCAACATATCAGTCTCTCTCAACAGACCAGCCTCTCTCAACAGACCAGCCTCTCAACATATCAGCCTCTCTCAACAGACCAGCCTCTCAACATATCAGTCTCTCTCAACAGACCAGTCTTACCATACAAGAAACCAGCATCTGTCAACTGACAAATCGTAAAGGCACCAGCATCTCTCAACAGACCAGCCTTTCAAAACATACCAGTCGTAACATTAAGGCACCAGTAATTCACAAGAGACCAGTCTCTCTTAGCAGACCAGTCGTAATATACAAACGACCAATCTCTCTCAACTGACCAATCTTACCCTCCAAGATACCAGCCTCTCTCAACAGACCATTCTTACCATACAAGCTACAAATATTCGTGCACTGCAGTACTAGCCTGATGCTACTGTCTACTTCAAAGTGAATTAGCAGAAAGCTGGCTATTGCTAAGCTAGGGTCGTAAGATTATGATCTCATCTGTCAAGTTGTACAAGAGCAGAAAAAAAAAGATATTTGAGCACCTAAAAGCAAGTAATAAACACACCTTTTTATGATGATTTCCCTGATTTTAAAAATATGTTGCAATTTAATGTTTCTTTATGTGACGTTTATTCAAATAATAAATTTTAAAAATAAACACATTTTTGTGTTACATTTTTGTAAAATAAGTAAACATTAAGTCAGTATTAATGTGATTAGTGTGTTATGTCTCATTCATAATATATCTGACAATACGGTTTCTGGTTTTACTATTATCATTCTACAAACCCAGCACCCACCAGATTTAGTAAAATAGACTGTGAGAATAGAAGGATGTAATAAATAAAGCATAACCTTCAGCGGTTAACAAGTCTAGTGCTAAATAAAGACATAATGAATACACTCGAAAGCGATAAAGCCATACTAAAACATCTCTATTAAAAATTAAACTGACCCCATAATGTAGAATAAACTCAAATAATTAAAATATGAGCCCAAAACTATAATCTAAATATTATGAAGTGTTAATTATAACTTAAAAACATAAACATAACTACATCACGTTCATTGGACAAAACGAACGAACGCGGCTGAGACCGAAATTCTCGGCTCAAAACAGCTAAGTCTGCGCGCGCACAGATAGACGGTTTGCACCGAGAATTTTAGACCGAGCAAACCGTCTATCTTTTTAAACCTGCTATAGTTTTGTAAATATCAACAAAACACATTTTAAAACGCTACAGTATAGTCGGTAGAGAGTGTCTTCGGAGATATCTTTAAAAAAAATTTGTATTAGAGCGATCGAGAAGGAAATAATCAGTTTTTTGTCTCTCCTGTAAAATTTACATTTTCGGAGTTAGACGGTTTGCGACCGAGACCATCGATATATATATATGTAGATATAGATATAGCTATATAAAAGGATGAATTCACATTGAATTCACGTGACATCAGACTTGATTATTCAACTTAAAACATTGTTTAATAGAGTACTTGAATACACAGAGTACATATAAATATGTCCATGGTTGAAATAAATACATAAATTATATCCAAGAGCCAAAACACAACATTAGGAAAATACAGTTTGACCACTGTACTAATAATACCCAAAAGTGGCGTTCGTTGAGAAAAATTTTTTTTCGATATATAACAAGGCCATTTAAGATCAGCTTCCAGTGACTTTCACCCACTCGCCCACTTCATAGTGTTCAGTAATCAAATGGAAAATATTTCAATGGTATAATTTTAATTTCAGTCCATGTTTGAGGGCCACAAAGATAAGTGACAATGCATAACTGTTGTAAAACACATGTTGGTAAAGTGAATGAAATAGTAGTGGATTAGAGATAGAAAAAATAATAACTAATAAAACATGCAATGCTTATTTGATTAATAAATGTTAAAATCAAGGAAAATTAAAATATAATCAATATATCAATCTTACGCTTTCACACTTTGTCACCCAATTACAGAAACTTGTCACCTTTAGTCTTACAGTAACTTACTTACTCACTCTATTACTCTGTCTCTCTCTCTCTCTCTTTATATATATATATATATATATATATATATATATATATATATATATATATATATATATATATATATATATATATATATATATATATATATATATATATATGTATTTAATTGGTATATTTATATGTACAATTGTAGCCTATACATAAAAAGTTTTGATGTTTTAAATACATTTAAATAAATAATTAAAAGTATACTAATAAAAAGGAATAAAGGAAATTATATAAGAGAAACGGCGGTTGTATGATTTAAAAAAAAAAAACAACACTTGTTTGAACATAACATAAACATGTATGTCGATAACATGTATATCTAAAACTGCATTGTACAAGATTTATTTAAAATCAATAAAGTCATGTAATATATAGTAGTAGATTAGAGATTAAAAAAAACAATAAAACACGCAAAGCTTATTTGATTAATAAATGTTAAAATCAAGGAAAATTAAAATATAATCAATATATCAATCTTACGCTTTCACACTTTGTCACCTAATTACAGAAACTTGTCACCTTTAGTCTAACAGTAACTTACTTACTCACTCTATTACTCTGTCTCTCTCTCTCTCTCTCTTTATATATATATATATATATATATATATATATATATATATATATATATATATATATATATATATGTATTTAATTGGTATATTTATATGTACAATTGTAGCCTATACATAAAAAGTTTTGATGTTTTAAATACATTTAAATAAATAATTAAAAGTATACTAATAAAAAGGAATAAAGGAAATTATATAAGAGAAACGGCGGTTGTATGATTTAAAAAAAAAAAAACACTTGTATGAACATAACATAAACATGTATGTCCATAACATGTATATCTAAAACTGCATTGTACAAGATTTATTTAAAATCAATAAAGTCATGTAATATATAGTAGTAGATTAGAGATTAAAAAAAACAATAAAACACGCAAAGCTTATTTGATTAACAAACATTAAAATCAAGGAAAATTTAAATATAATCAATATATCAATCTTACGCTTTCACACTTTGTCACCCAATTACAGAAACTTGTCACCTCTATTCTAACAGTACCTTACTTACTCACTCTCTCCCCTTATACATATATATATATATATATATATATATATATATATATATATACATTTGGTATATATATATATGTACAATTGTAGCCTATATATAAAAAGTTTTAACGTTTTAAACTGTTCACATTTTGAAAAAAAAAATATATTTAAATAAATTATAACAAGTATAATAATACAAAGGAATGCATGAAATTTTATCAGAGAAACAGCGGTTGTATGATTTAAAAAAAAAACACTTGTATGAATATAACATGAACATGTTTGTGCATAACATTAACATGTATATGTGAAACTGCATTGTACAAGATTTATTTTGCAACAATAAAGTCATTGAACCTGCCACAGTGTAGAAGACAACATTGTTTCTTCATTGTTTTATATAGGTGTATTTATATATAATATATCAAACAAGGTAATCGTAAAGAATGTGCTGTGATGGTTTATGACATCCATTCTTTCCTTGAAGTGTTTTTTCTCTTGTGTGACTATTTAGGATTGTTGTTGCATAATTTAACAAAATTAATTTTTCAACCTTGCCTTAACTGCATTCTTAGTGACATCATACAAATGGACAACAGTCTGATGTTTCAAATGTTTACAAGAAAAAATTCTGACAATTTAAACAATTTAAAAAAAAAATTGTATCTGCTAATCTTTAAAAATGAAATGTTTAGATAGTCAATACATTTGTAGGCCTATTATTCTCTATGACAAATAATAGAATGATGAGGATTATATCCTGTATAAGACACCTAATGAAAGTGAGAACTTTTTAAATGACAAACATCAAAGTCCTATTTTCTGTCTTCACAATGTGACCTCAGTGCAAAACTCATCATTTTATCATAAAGATTAGTGATCCTTGTGAACAAGAATTTTATAACCAACATCAAATGGAGGTGGCTAATTTCCTGAATGACACTTCTGATGATGAGATAGAGAAGCTTTCCTAGAAAACACTTATTGACAAACATCACATTCATGTAGAACGCCTAAATGAGTCTTTTATTCTACAATAATTCATCTTTCAGAGTATAGTTTTTATGACAAACATCACGTTCATGTGGATTGAGCCCAGAATGAGACTTTTTATGACAAGATAAACCCGACTTATGAGCAAACTTTTTGTGACAAACATCACATTCATGTCTTTTGTCTCCTGAATGAATCTTTTCATGTACAGATAAATTACCTCGCTGACTAAACTTTTTATGGCACACATCACATTCATATGGCTTATGTCCAGAGTGAATAATTTTGTGTGTATTTAAACTAGATTTATGAGCAAATTTTCTATGACACACATCACATTCAGGAGGCCCAAGTGGACCGCCTAAATGAGTCTTTTTATGCTCCAATAATTGATCTTTCCGAGAATACTTTTTATGACAAACATCACATTCATGTGGCCTAAGCCCAGAATGAGTCATTTGATGTCGAGATAACCGGGACCTATGAATAAACTTTTTATGACACACATCACATTCATGAGGCCTAAGTGGTCCACCTGAATGAATCTTTTTGTGCTCCAATAATTGACCTTTCCAAGAATACTTTTTATGACACACATCACATTCATGTGGCTTAAGCCCAGAATGAGCAATTTGATGTCGAGATAACTGGTACTTCTGAAAAAACTTTTTATGACACACATCACATTCATATGGTTTCTCATGTAAATGAGTTTTTTTATGCTCAGATAAATGACATTTAAGATTGTAACGTTTTTGACAAACATCACATTCATATGGCTTGAGATTAGAATGTGTATTTTTATGGACAGATAAATGACTCTTCATAGTGAACTTTTTATGACACAAATCACATTCATGTCTTTTGTCTCCTGAATGAATCTTTTCATGTATAGATAAATGACTTCGCCGCCTAAACTTTTTATGGCACACATCACATTCATATGGCTTATGTCCAGCGTGAATAATTTTGTGTGTATTTAAACTAGATTTATGAGCAAACTTTTTATGACACACATCACATTCAGGAGGCCCAAGTGGACCATCTGAATGAGTCTTTTTATGCTCCAATAATTGATCTTTCCGAGAATATTTTCTTTGACAAACATCACATTCATGTGGCTTATGTCCAGAGTGAATAATTTTGTGTGTATTTAAACTAGATTTATAAGCAAACTTTTTATGACACACATCACATTCATGAGGCCCAAGTGGACCATCTGAATGAGTCTTTTTATGCTCCAATAATTTATCTTTTCGAGAATACTTTTTATGACAAACATCACATTCATGTTGCTTAAGCCCAGAATGAGTCATTTGATGTCGAGATAACTGGTACCTCTGAGCAAAGTTTTTATGACACACATCACATTCATTGCATCTGTCTTCAGGATGTAACTTCTTGCTTTTTTTTTTCATAGCACCTTGTTGCGGATGAAAATCATACACATATAAATTCTTTCTTGTGTGAGTTTTTATGTGTTGTGTAATATGATGAAAATGAGTAAATCTTTGACAACACATATCACACTTAAATGTCTTCAATCCCTTATCCCTGGGCTCATACATTGTTGGAAAATTATCAATAACTTCTTTACGAAATTCCTTGAGTTCTTTTAAATCATGATGAAGATCTGATTTTAAAACTGTAAAATTTTTAATAAAAGCATCAGAATCTGGTAAAAATTCAAGCTGTCTTTGAACATCTAAGCTATTTTCGTTTTCGCCCTTAAATGTTGAAAATGTTAAGATATCCTTTTTCATAACATCACACCTTAAAAATTCTGTTGTAACATTTGGTTTCATATCTTTAGAATAAGAAAATGTTTCATATGACTGTTGATCTTCTAAAGTTGAAAATGCAACTGTTTCATTTGACTTGTCTTCAAAAGGTGAAGATTGTGATGATATATTTTGTTTGATAACATTTGATGTTGAAATTAATGTTGATATATTTGGTTTTACATCTTCTAAAGTTGAAATTCCCAATGTTACATCTGATTTTAAATCCATAAATTGTATTGCTAGGTCATTTGATTCCTGTTTAACCACAAGTGCACTTTCTAAAGACATGGCTGATTTTCCCACTCTGCTCTGTAAAATATTTAAAAAGATGGCTAAAAAAGAGAAAATAATAATAGATATGAACAGAAAGATAAAATTATGTTTAAACAGCTCACCTAAAGATATATATATATATATATATATATATATATATATATATATATATATATATATATATATATATATATATATATATATATATATACATATATATACATATATATATATATATATATATATATATATATATATATATATATATATATATATATATATATATATATATATATATATATATATATATATATATACACATATATATTTATATATATTTATATATATTTATATATATATACATATATATATATATATATACACATATATATTTATATATATTTATATATATTTATATATATATATATATATATATATATATATATATATATATATATATATATATATATATATATATATATATATATATATACACATATATATTTATATATATTTATATATAAATACATATATATATACATATATATATATATATATATATATATATATATATATATATATATATATATATATATATATATATATATATATATATAGACCTACATTATGTCTTTATATCTTCATTCAGCTCTTGAAGTGGTTTTGTTTAAGGATTTAAATTTTGCTGAACATTTTCCCCCTTTAGGCCTTAATTTTAATTTTGGGTTAGTAAGAATGAGGTTCCTGTTGCTATATTTAGCTTACATTTGTAGGCATTTATATTTTTAGAATTTTTGAATGGAAATGTTAGAATTTTTAAGAGAGGTTAGATTTATTTAATGAATTGTTATTTTTTACTTATTGTTTCTAGTACTGTGTGAAAGAATAGATAGTTTGGCTGTTATCAAATTTTGGTTTCGGTTTGCAAACCTGTCTTAATTGTATTTTTTTTTAATGATATTATGGCAAAAGGCACTATTATCATAATTGTTTTAACAAATTATATCTTACTTAGTTTAGGGTTAGTGGTTAGGCTAAGAGGCAAGGGTTAGGGCTAGGTATAGATTTAGAAAATAATGTTAGGCATTGTTAGGCCAATTGATTTTTCTTCAAACAGATAATTTCTGATGCTATATCGTGAGATTACAAAAATCTTAATATTTGTATTGAGTTTCGTATACATTCGTTACTGTAAAATATTGTTTCTTTTGACCATGCATTCATGTTTTAACTTAATCTTAAATTTAATTGACTGAAAATTTGCAACAATTAGTAGATCTAAATAGTAATAGTAATTTCATGTGTAGTAATTAATGTTTTATCAAGAAACTGAAAAGAAACGCAGAAGATTTGCGTCCAGTAGATTCTACTAATTCTAGATCTAGTAATTAAGTAAAATAAGACGATTAGATTTACTAAAGTCTAAGGTAGTAAGAAGGAATAGATCAATGTTTACAAGTAGCAATAGTTATTAAAATAACTAGAAATACAAAATAATTAGCAAAACAGTATTCAAAACGCAACTAAAATCAATCTATGCAAATTTTAAAACATTATGTATTAAAAAAAATATGGCGCAAAATAAAATATAGTTCACGGTACTTTATGTGGTTTTCGGAATGGCATGACATAGTTTTACTGCTTTTAACTGCTGTACCATTCCAGAATAATAACGATGCTATATCGTGAGATTACAGTTACCATGAATTTTAACTGAATCAATGAAATAAGTATACTTTGACATACCTAGAGATCTATATTTTATTATGTAAAGTAGTGTCTTTGTTTTTCATGATACTGTAGACTACTATATAGCTGTAGACTTTCAGGATTTCCTCTATTCTATACTCTATAGTATAGAGGAAATGTTGAAAGTGCTTAAATTCCTTTACATCCTGTCGAGGAAATAAACAGTGCACATTTCCTCTCATAATATGATAGATATGAGACCTAAGTAGTGTAGGCCTATATCAGGGATCGGCAACCTTTTGAAGCGGAAGAGCCAAAAGTTACAATTTTCAAAATTTCCCTGGTTTTAAAGAGCCACTAACATTTTTTAAAATTCAAATATTTTATTTTTTTATTAAGATTATTAGTATTTATTCAAGGAGCTGGAGAGCCGCATCTTGATATCAAAAGAGCCGCATGCGGCTCGCGAGCCGCAGGTTGCCGACCCCTGGCCTATATCTATTAATTAACTATTAAATTTAATTAAATACTATTATTTAGTCCAAGGTACTAGGTTGTTAGCAGGTAGGCCCACTCTTTCTAAATTAAAAATGTACACAAAGAAGCAAAAAAAATGAACGTCTGAATGTGGCTTCATTGATAGTAGGCCTTGTATTTACAGGCCTATATTATAATTACTAATTATTAATTAGTAGATACGCTAGATAAATTTAATTTTCTGCTATCTTTTAAATGAACAATTCAATTAGCCGGGAGAATGTTTATACCAGTGTCTGATAATGGAATCTTCTTTAAAAAAGGGGTGTTAGGTTACTGGTAGTTAACTAAATGCACACATGGCTATCTAATGTCAATGCTAACCCTGTCCCTAACCCCAACCCTGGTCCTACCATACGCCTAACCCTAATTTCTAACCATAAAATTAGTCGACATTACAATACTACTAACATTACCCAACACCCCTTTTTTAAAGAAGATTCTATTATCAGACACAGTTATCTATAATCATCCAAATAATCCTACAGATAACTAAATGATAGATCACCTTTAATAAAAACCAGAAGTACTGTCCTAAAATTAACTTTTGACAACAATATTTATTTAGGGCTTAGGGTAATCCATCGCTTTAGGTACGTTAAATCGGCCACAGCTAAGATCTAGATCTAGATCTAGAGCTCTAGTAGTAGTACTGTACGAAAAAGTTACTTCATTGTCAAGCAGAAGTAGATCTAGAATCTAGATCTATATAGTAGGTTTAATTATGGATTTTTTAAAATAAAATATTCTGTTATTTCAAATACACTATTAAGTTCCTTACCCCTTAAGAGAACATTTGACACCACATTTAAATATCTAGCTTACTCAGTTGACGAGAAAAGAGAGAATTTTAAAATTTGTCTAGAATGGAAAATGAATGACAAAACCCACGTTCTCGATCCCTGCCGGCATGGCATGACGTCGTGAACTGGTGTGCACAAGTTTTTTAAGGGGTGTGTCAACTTAGGTTATTTACTCACCGGAAAATAACAAAAAAAAAACCAACTGATTTATAATAAAGCTAGATCTAGTTATTTATTAAATTGGTAAAGGAAAATGTACATTACAAATTCTACTCTACATGTTATTCATACCATTTTTTATGAAATAATGAACACTTGCATAACTCAAATTACCATAAAAAATATTTTTATTTCAAATTCTAATTTTATTAAATATGCTTAAAATAATATGATTGTTATGATAGTCTATAAATACAAGAAATAGGCCTAACTCAATTCACATTATATTGAGTCAACAGTGTGGAAGCTGAAGTTCATACACGGTATTAGTGTCTTTTTTTTTTACATTACATTTTTTTTCATATTGAAAACGTGACGTGTAATTTTTTTTTTAATAAAATCTCCAAACATCGTCACTCGCGTGATTGCTTGCTTATGTTTACTATCCCGCGGGTGAAAAATCCCACCACGGTCGAGGGGTCACTGTGCGGTCAGCAGGCCTGTAGTACACGTCATAGAATGAACACGCGTACTCGAGATCGTCGGTGTCTTCACTTCTCTCTCTCTCTTTCCCCCCCCCCCCCCTTCTTCAAGCAAATTATAATAGAGTAGAGCCGAATGGATACAAAACTAACGTTACTAAGACTAATTTTAAAACTTAGCTTAATTTTTTTTGTCACTCTCTTAAAAGATAAAGCAAATGTAGTTTAATGTAGTAAGGTAAAGTAATTTAAATATTCAATATCAACTTGAAGTCGATCTATCTTGATAAAATCTGTCAAGAAAAAAAAACGATAAAAGATCTCCACCCTGAACTTAAACCAATTGTAATTTTAACAGACGAAAATGATGCTCGCGCACATTTTTTTTTAACTAGATCTACGTCTAGCTTTAAAAATAATAAACACATAAACGCTTAAAATGCCCGTAAACAGATTATTTAGCGCCAAAAAAAAAAAGGCCGCTGAACAAGCATTGTTTAAAATACGCAGCAATGAAAAAGGCTAACGGCCTATCAAATAACTCTAAAAATCGCCCGAAATTAGGCCTAGCTCTGAAAAAGGCCACTGAACGAGCATCACTGATTATATAAACGAATAGGCCACGCAGCGTTGACGAGGTTAACCACCGGTCACGAATTAAATTCAACGCAGCTAGTGTCGGCCCACAGTGAAGAAAAAAAATCAATATAGGCCATATTTTAATAAAATTACTAATACAATAATAATTTCCACAATTTTACTTTTTCTGCACACGCTGCAGTTGAATTATAATTAAAATACTAGACTTAAAGGTTCATTCCGCAAAAAACAAAAACTAGTTGTTTCTGTGAGGTAACTAGCGTAACAATGACGTCACGATAGTAAACAACGCGGACAGAAATTTCTGCATTGGTACCTCATCCTCATATTCGATTTTTAAAAAATGTATCAACATATCTGTAATTAATCATTATAAATATCTCAATTATATATTTCTGCATTTGTACCAGGGGGTTTCGACCATGTACTGGGCCGTTTAAGGCGGCAGTTCAGTTTTTCCCAAGAGTACTCGACAAAAATAGCGTGTATTAATTAAAACCACGTATCTCGTGAATATTTCGAACATTTTAAGGCATGGCGTCCATTTAGTTAGCATCTCACATTAAAATAATGATGAGATTTTGCGATATTAGCAGTTTTTTCATTTGTCGTGTAACGGACCCCTAAAAAAAACGAAAAAAAAACGCAAAAAACGACGAGTGACGTTTCAGGGTCAGAGGTCATCCCGCCATCTCAGCCAGGAGACGATCTACTATATAGATCTAGATCTAGTATATTGTGAAATATTTGTGTCAAATATTAGGCCTATAGATAACTGAATAATCAACCAAAATCAATGGCTAAATATATCAGAAATTAACTTTAAACAGCATTATTTGAGAGCAAGATTTGCTATATACTATACTAGATCTAGATCTATATAAACAGCAGCCATTTGTAAAATAGCGTGGCTTAGGCTGAATCTTCCGCTATAAGTTTAACAAAATAAAACTTAAACAAGATGGCTGCTGTAGAAAATGAGCATGGTTGCATCTGATGAAAACATCACTAGTCTTCATTTATTTCTGAAAAGTTTTAATTCAATGGTTAAAAAAACAGGTACATAAATGGGTAATCTATCGTTTTAGCGTAATCAATTCGGCTGCAGTAGTAATGTGCGGGAGAGGTAACTAATGAATATATTCGTTTAAATAAGTATAGTTAATAGGTTTAATTATGGATTTTTTAAAATAAAATATTCTGTTATTTCAAATACACTATTAAGTTCCTTACCCCTTAAGAGAACATTTGACACCACATTTAAATATCTAGCTTACTCAGTTGACGAGAAAAGAGAGAATTTTAAAATTAGTCTAGAATGGAAAATGAATGACAAAACCCACGTTCTAGATATGACGTCGTGAACTGGTGTGCACAAGTTTTTTAAGGGGTGTGTCAACTTAGGTTATTTACTCACCGGAAAATAACAAAAAAAAAACCAACTGATTGATAATAAAACTAGATCTAGTTATTTATTAAATTGGTAAAGGAAAATGTACATTACAAATTCTACTCTACATGTTATTCATACCATTTTTATGAAATAATGAACACTTGCATAACTCAAATTACCATAAAAAATATTTTTATTTCAAATTCTAATTTTATTAAATTATGCTTAAAATAATATGATTGTTATGATAGTCTATAAATACAAGAAATAGGCCTACATTTTACACTCAATTCACATTATATTGAGTCAACAGTGTGGAAGCTGAAGTTCATACACGGTATTAGTGTCTTTTTTTTTACATTACATTTTTTTTTCATATTGAAAACGTGACGTGTAATTTTTTTTAAATAAAATCTCCAAACATCGTCACTCGCGTGATTGCTTGCTTATGTTTACTATCCCGCGGGTGAAAAATCCCACCACGGTCGAGGGGTCACTGTGCGGTCAGCAGGCCTGTAGTACACGTCATAGAATGAACACGCGTACACGAGATCGTCGGTGTCTTCACTTCTCTCTCTCTCTTCCCCCCCCCCCCCCTTCTTCAAGCAAATTATAATAGAGTAGAGCCGAATGGATACAAAACTAAGACTAATTTTAAAACTTAGCTTAATTTTTTTTTTGTCTACTCTCTTAAAAGATAAAGCAAATGTAGTTTAATGTAGTAAGGTAAAGTAATTTAAATATTCAATATCAACTTGAAGTCGATCTATCTTGATAAAATCTGTCAAGAAAAAAAAACGATAAAAGATCTCCATCCTGAACTTAAACCAATTGTAATTTTAACAGACGAAAATGATGCTCGCGCACATTTTTTTTTAACTAGATCTACGTCTAGCTTTAAAAATAATAAACACATAAACGCTTAAAATGCCCGTAAACAGATTATTTAGCGCCAAAAAAAAAAAGGCCGCTGAACAAGCATTGTTTAAAATACGCAGCAATGAAAAAGGCTAACGGCCTATCAAATAAGTCTAAAAATCGCCCGAAATTAGGCCTAGCTCTGAAAAAGGCCACTGAACGAGCATCACTGATTATATAAACGAATAGGCCACGCAGCGTTGACGAGGTTAACCACCGGTCACGAATTAAATTCAATGCAGCTACTGTCGGCCCACAGTGAAGAAAAAAAAATCAATATAGGCCCTACTAATATTTTAATAAAATTACTAATACAATAATAATTTCCACAATTTTACTTTTTCTGCACACGCTACAGTTGAATTATAATTAAAATACTAGACTTAAAGGTTCATTCCGCAAAAAACAAAAACTAGTTGTTTCTGTGAGGTAACTAGCGTAACAATGACGTCACGATAGTAAACAAAGCGGACAGAAATTTCTGCATGGGTACCTCATCCTCATATTCGATTTTTAAAAAATGTATCAACAGATCTGTAATTAATCATTATAAATATCTCAATTATATATTTCTGCATTTGTACCAGGGGGTTTCGACCATGTACTGGGCCGTTTAAGGCGGCAGTTCAGTTTTTCCCAAGAGTACTCGACAAAAATAGCGTGTATTAATTAAAACCACGTATCTCGTGAATATTTCGAACATTTTAAGGCATGGCGTCCATTTAGTTAGCATCTCACATTAAAATAATGATGAGATTTTGCGATATTAGCAGTTTTTTCATTTGTCGTGTAACGGACCCCTAAAAAAAACGAAAAAAAACGAAAAAAACGACGAGTGACGTTTCAGGGTCAGAGGTCATCCCGCCATCTCAGCCAGAAGACGATCTAATAGTTAAGTCAAATTTTACAAAATATAACAGATACTTGATTAAAAATAACAATCAGTGACCAAAACAATTTAAAATATCATGAAACTAACTTTAAACTAGGTGTTTGAGATAAATATTAGTAGATAAAAACAGCGGCCATCTTTCCAAATAAAATTTAGAGTAGTTTCCCTTGAGACAAATGTCTATTCGTATGTATATTGTGTTGACTTTGTTGTTTAATATACATAGTTGTCTTGTTTAATATAAGTAGGACAGAGGGCCATCTTCTTATCTTTAATTTCAATTGAAATTAAGGTTATGCATGTATGTAAATCCAAGATCTCAAAAACTTTTGGGAGGTCCATCATTTATTAAACCCTTTTGTACTGATGAACTTGTCAATTATTAGGTCGTCCATATTCTTCATAAATGACGTTGGACTCAAAATATGGGACGGGGTAAAATATTTTTTAAAAACATGATGAAGAATATATTCGTTTTCGTTAGAAATTGTGATTACGCCTTCGTTCGGGTATAGTAGAACTGCGATATGATATTAAATCATCATCTTGCTTTTAGTGACGATTGGGGGAAAGGGAATTCATCGGGAAAAGTATGACGTCATTTATGGACAGGACCGGCGCTACCTATAAGGCGAACCAGGCTGTCGCCTAGGGCTCTGTCCTTAGGCGGGGGGGGGGGGGCGCCAAAATGGGTTGGAAAAACAAATTGAAGGTTTGAGGGGGGGGGGGTGCAAAACGTAAGCTTGTCCCCGGGTCGCTACGCCTCTGATAATACGGGGGCATGAAAAAAATTGCAGAGGGGGGGGGGGGGGGCGCTTTTATTAATTAAATAACCTGGCGCCGGCACTGTTTATAGGTGATCCATTTAAGCCTAGTTGTTTATTTTGTCTGTAGACATTAGTCCTAGGCCTACACTTTTTCTGAATTAAGATTATTGTGTTTATAAAAATAGTTTTAAATTTTAATTATTTACATCTGAATACCACATGGGCTTTTTTCTTTGCCTTCTGCTTTCATAAGTTTTTTGATTTGTTCAATAGTCGATGTTTACCCATCCCCACCATCCATTATTACAAAAACAAAAAACACCCACTATATAGTGATATCTCCCTATAGAAAAAAAACTAGATCAACCTATAGTTCGTAGGAAAATTAGAATCTATCACTTATTCGTCTGTTAAAAAAAAGAAATACGTTATTTTTCTCAACCCCGCCGTTTCATCCCCCACTAAGCACAACGTCACAAAGTTCGCGGCGCGCGTGACGTCATTTGTCATTAGGCTAATGTTAAAGAAAGAGATGCCGCGTAATTAAAAAATTCAAAACAGGCACTATTGCGTTGAGACTTTAGCGACGTTTAGTCCGACGAATAGATCTAAATGACTTTAGTACGGTATATTATATTGGTGTTTATTTTATTACAGTGGCATGCTGTGCTCCCTCTACTACAAAAATTCGCGTGCTTTTAATTTCTGCAACCTGCTGCCCTGAGACGTTCGGCTCTAAAATGCCCGTGACACAGCGGCTTCCGTAAATACATTTAGGCTCCCGCTCCCACCTATAAACTTTGTCTGCCGATTAAGCTCCACGCAAAACTTTTGATTGATATGTGGACATAAGCGGCGCTAGTGGTGGTGTCAACGGGGGCCTCCCTCCCCCCCCCACCCCCCAAGCTCAGCTCTTAAAGGTGCTCCACACTTCATAAAAGACAAAATTGATGTTCAGACATCGTCGGACTCGGGCGTTTAGCCGACTGCCGTATTCCTAATGCACCGTCCACTGCTAACACTATTTCTATATTAAACTCAAGCCTATACTGAGCTCTGGCTTTTTACATTAGCTGCTGTCGTATTAAGGGTTAATCTTTTGTTATGCCCCATGTCGCGAAACTTGCTGTTTTGTCCAATTTTACCTGCAAGCCAATAATTGTCTTGGATTCTTGTCGAATATCGTTGCCTGGAGCTACTTGGTTTGAGCCTTATTGTCAGAAGTTATTACATTTGGTGTCAATGTAGTGCGGCCTATTTTCGTCGGTAGGCATTTAGTGGCGGGCCCTTTTTGGCGGGGATGGTGTGCTGAGGTTGTTTAACACCGCTAAGGACAACAGGCTTGCAATAGTTATGATCATTCGTTATGAGTAAAGGTATGCATGAAAACGAACGCTTTATGTTCCTCATTTTCAATGAGCACAGCTTTATAGAAGTCTTCCATAATTGACGTCACTCATCCCCTCCCCCCCCCCCCGATCACCCCTTCATTATAGGTCATAAATTGCAGTCCTACGTAAATTGACGTCACATTAGAATAGCATATGTGACATCGTTTATGGACAACCCCATATTTCTCATTTTGGGTATTTGGTATCAACATTTTGACAACAAAGGTTGTTCAAAATGTGTATTGGAGGTTAGGACTTGACATCTACCATAAATGACATCAAGCACTTGAGGGGTGGAGTAACTGGTTTTGAGACGACGTTTTACGCGGGAAAGGGGAGAGTTAAGAAACGTGAAACGTTATGTATTTGGCCTAATACAAAAATGCTGAAACAATTCTTTTTCGTTCGAATTATGAATTATGGCTTGACGTTTTAACAGTAATAACAGGCAGGGCAAAAAGGTAATTTTCGACATTACGACTATTTCGTGACGGCGAAAATGGGGGGGGGGGGGGTTACGGTGAAGAGATGTCAAAAAACGTGACGTCATTTATGATTAAATCACTAATTAAAGGAAAAAAGCATGAAAATATGAAATGAAAATAGCAAACAAACAATAACACAAACAATAACAATTAACTCAAACTAATATTTAAATAAACATTAGATATGTAGTGGTAGCTATATAAAAATAGGGAGTTTCTTAAAAAATTGCATCTCATAATCAGTCATAATCTATAATAATAATAATTCTAGAACTGATGTTTATTGTCAGTCAATTAAAGTTTAAATTGTTTAAAGGGCAGAATTAAAAAAAAAAAACGCATGCTTTGTATTTAAACACAAGACAGACGTATTTAATAGCAAACATCAATACATTTCCATACAAATAGAAATTAAAGGGAAATGACTCAAAATAATATTTTCTTAAGATGGCCGCTGTTTTTAATAGCAAATTTAGTATCTGAAACATCGTTGTTAAACCTTAATTTCATGACATTTTTATTGATTTAACCCTTAAATATGGTTTAATATTCAATTATCTTTAGTATTTTAGTAGAATATGCAAAAATATATTCATATTTAAGCCATATTTATTAGTTACCTTATCCCTACATTACTAGTGACGACCGAATTGATTACGCTAAAACGATAGATTACCCATAAATGAAACAAGGAAACTTTTTTGTATTTTTCTAATCAACCAAAATCAATGGCTAAATATATCAGAAATTAACTTTAAACAGCATTATTTGAGAGCAAGATTTGCTATATACTATACTAGATCTAGATCTATATAAACAGCAGCCATTTGTAAAATAGCGTGGCTTAGGCTGAATCTTCCGCTATAAGTTTAACAAAATAAAACTTAAACAAGATGGCTGCTGTAGAAAATGAGCATGGTTGCATCTGATGAAAACATCACTAGTCTTCATTTATTTCTGAAAAGTTTTAATTCAATGGTTAAAAAAACAGGTACATAAATGAAACAAGGAAACTTTTTTGTATTTTTCTAAACATAAATCTTCCTCAAAATGTGAAATAATTATTAAAATTTATTATTTAAGGAGTCACCTGTTTTTCACATTACTAGTCGCGGGCGATTTTACGTACCCAAAACGATAGATTACCTAATTTTGCATAGGCCTAACTAGTTATTTTTAAATGTTTCAACAAAACATTTCTGCTACTACACATTGTTTAACACACAGGCTTCGTACGCAGTCTAGAAAAAGTCTTGAATTTAGAAAAGGGAATTTCCACACAATTACAGACTTTAAGTCAAATAAATGTTTAAATTGTGAGGAATTTTCTTGTAAACATTGTTAACATCAGCCTGTAGATAATAGATTCTATATGTGTATGATGCCACTAGGCACTAAGAGTGCAATTTATGCAAAGTTGAAAAATTAATTTTGTTAAACTAGATCTAGACCTAAGGAAGGGGAAACCCACTCTAGACTAGATAATAGTACGTAAAAATATAACATGACCGCTGCAACTGCTATCAACAGCTAGATTCTCACCCTCACTTTCCATTCCCCCCCCCCCCCCCCACCCCATCTATGACGACGGTTTACGGGCAACAATGAAAAGAGCAAGCAGAACATGTTATTATCTGCCCTTAGTTTCAAATCGTTTAAATACTTAATAACTAAATTAACTGCCCCTAATAGTCGTCACTAAACTCAGCTCTATGATTGTTAACATTTGGCGTGAACCACAGCTCACCAGACTGGTGGGGGTGGTAGGGATATGCCTAGATAGCGGGGTAGAAAGCTAAGCTGCAAGGTGTCTGGTATGGTCACTATGAAGAGAATTATATATATAGATAATTTGTATTAGAACAATAACAAAATTAAATACAATGTACAGTAATACAATAGACAGGCTGTACAGGTACATCGAGAACTTGATTCTAACTACCCCAAAATTAAAAGGAAAAATGTTCCAGCAAAATTTAAATCTTTAAACAAATCAACATCTAGAGCTGAAAGAAGATATATATATATATATATATATATATATATATATATATATATATATATATATATATATATATATATATATATATATATATATATATATATATATATATATATATATATATATATATATATATATATATATATATATATATATATATATATTACAATTAGACCTACATTATATCTTTAGGAGGGCAGTTTAAACATTACACAATATCACTAGCTATGCTCCCTCTAGGCTGCGCTACTGCGCAGTAGTTTTGTTAAATACATATATCCTAGTATAAGTTGTTTAGAACACCGTTCAAACAAAATAAACCTTGCACATTGGATTTTTTCCCTTAGATCACTATATACTTGGTATTTATTATAGGGTTCATACTTTAAAGTATACCATATAGAGTGTCAACATTTTTTTTTAAGGAAAATTACTGAATTTTGTCTTAGGCCAAAATACTTCACCTCTCCACATCTAATAAAGAGAGTTACTAAAAAGTTAAAAATAATTATTATTCATGTTGATGTATTAAATAATAGCTAGAGAGTTTTTTATTAAAACTAAAAAAATGTAAGGCCTAAAGTAATGGACCTCTCCATATCTTATGAAGAGAGTTACTGAAAGTTGAAAACTATTTAAATATTATTCTTGTAGATGTATTAAAATTTAGATATTTTAGGGGGAAAAATGTTTTAAAAAATAATCTATTTTTATTTTATTTTTTAGCCATCTATTTAAATGTATGCAGAACAGATTGGGAAAATAAGCCATGTCTTTGCAAAGTGCACTTGTGGTTAAACAGGAATCAAATGACCAAGTAATACAATTTATGGATTTAAAATCAGATGTAACATTGGCAATTTTAACTTTAGAAGATGTGAAACCAAATTTATCAACATTGATTTCAACTTCAAATGTTATCAAACAAAATATATCATCACAATCTTCACCTTTTGAAGACAAGACAAATGAAACAGTTGCATTTTCAACTTCAGAAGATCAACAATCAGATGAAGCATTTTCTTTTTCTAAAGATATGAAACCAAATGTTTCAACAGAATTTTCAAGGTGTGATGTTATGAAAAATGATATCTTAACATTTTCATCATTTAAGAGTGAAAATGAAAATAGCTTAGATGTTCAAAGACAGCTTGAATATTTACCAGATTCTGATGGTTTTTTTATTAAAAATTTTACAGTTTTAAAATCAGATCTTCATCATGATTTAAAAGAACTCAAGGAATTGCATGAAAAAGTTATTGATAATTTTCCAACAATGTATGAGCTCAGGGATAAGGGACTGAAGACTTATAAGTGTGATATGTGTTGTCAAAGATTTACTCATTTTGATTGTATTACACAACATATGAAAACTCACACAAGAAAGAATTCATATGGGTATGATTTTCATCAGCAACAAGGTGCTATGAACAGTCATGTAAAACAGCTTAAGAAAATAAACAAGAAGTTTTCTTTGCATAAATTACATTCTGAAGACAGATGCAATGAATGTGATGTGTGTCATAAAAAGTTTGCTCATAAGTCTAGTTTATACGCACACAAAGTTATTCACTCTAGGCTTAGGCCATATGAATGTGACGCATGTCATAAAACGTTTTATCGAAAAATTCATTTATCTCAACATAAATATGTTCATCTACAATTAAGACCTTATGAATGTGATGTGTGTCCTAAAAGTTTTACAGAGAAATGTCAATTAGTAAGGCATAAAAATATTCATTCAGGTCTCAGACCATACGAATGTGATGTGTGTTATAAGAAGTTTGCTCGGAAGTTTTATTTATCTCAACATAAAAATATTCACTATGGACTAAAGCCACATGAATGTGAGGTGTGTCATAAAAAGTTCACTATAAAGAGTAATTTATCTGAACATAAAAAAACACATTCTAATCTCAAGCCATATGAATGTGATGTTTGTCAAAAACGTTTTAATCTTAAACGTCATTTAAGTCAGCATAAAAAAACTCATTTACATGAGAAACAGTATGAATGTGATGTGTGTCATAAAAAGTTTGCCAGGCAGTCTGGTTTATCTAAACACAAAATTATTCACTCAGGACTAAAGCCACATGAATGTGATGTGTGTCATAAAAAGTTTATTCAGAAAAGTAATTTAGCAACCCATAAAACAATTCACTCTGAAAACAGACAATATGAGTGTGATGTGTGTCATACAAAGTTTACTCGTAAGTCTAGTTTAATAATGCACAAAAATATTCATTCTGGATGTGAGCCACATGAATGTGATCTGTGCAATAAAAAGTTCATTAATAAAGGTCGATTAGCAAGACATAAAAGTATTCATTCAGGAAACAAACCATATGCATGTGATATGTGTCATAAAAACTTAAGTAGTAAGCGTAGTATGTCTGACCATTTAAATTCTCATTTAGAAATTGTACCACATGAATGTAATGTGTGTAATAAAAAATTTGGTAGTAAATATAGTTTAACTAAACATCTAAAGTCTCATTTAGGAATTAAGACAAATGGATGTAATGTGTGTCATAAAAAGTTTGTTTCAAAAGCCTATTTAATTCAACATCAACTCTCTCATTCTGGACTTAGGCCTCATGAATGTGATGTGTGTCATAAAAAATTTGCTTATAAGTCTAATTTATATCGACATCAAAAGTCTCATTCTGGACTTAGGCTACATGAATGTGATGTTTGTCATAAAAAGTATACTCTGAAAGATGAATTATTGAAGCATAAAAAGACTCATTCAGGCGTTCCACATGAATGTGATGTGTGTCATAAAATGTTTTCTTGGAAATCTTCTCTATCTACCCATCAGAAGTCTCATGTTTGTCATTAAAATGTTCTCACTGTCAATAGGTGTCTTATACAGGATAGGCTTATAATAATCCTCATCATTCTAGTATTTTTGTAATAGAAATTAATAGGTCTATTGTTTATTTTAACTTTTCATTTTAAAGATAAACAAATACAATGTTTTTTAAACTTAAGTGTTTAAAGTTTGATGATTGTTGTTATAATCATTTGAAACATCAGCCTGTAGTTCATTTGTATGATGCCACTAAGAAAGAGGTTAATGCTAGTTTGAAAAATTAATTTTATTAAATTTTTGCAACAATAATTTATAAATATTCACACAAGAGAAAAAGCACTTCAAGGTAAGAATGGATGTCATTAATCATCACAGCACATACTTTAAGATTACCTTGTATATTTATATATACACCATGGTAGGTTTGATGACGGTTTTGTTGCAAAATGGATCTTGTACACGGTATGGACATATATGTTTATATGTTATATTTATTTAAGTTTTTTCATAGAATCGTTGTTTCTCACTTATAATTTTATGTATTCCATGTATTAGTATACTTTTTATACTTTATTTAAATGTATATATATATGTTTTTTTTTTAAATACGGACAACTTACAACATCAAAATGTTTTATATATAATCTACAATTGTACATATAAATATATGTAATAGTTTGATATATATATATATATATAGAGAGAGAGAGAGAGAGAGGAAAAATAAGGTATAGTTAGAGGCGATAAGTTTGTGTAATTGTGTGACAAAATGATAGATTAAGACTGATATATCGAATCTGTTTTAATTTACCTTGGTTTTAACGTTTTTAATTTATCTTGATTTTAACGTTTTGTATAATCTCAAATCCATTGCTCTTTATTAGCTTTACTAACATGTGTTTTACAAAAATTATGCACTGTCACTTTTCATCTTTGAAACGCCCTCAAAACATGGACTAAAATTAAAATTTTGCCATATTTGAAATATTTTCCATTTGATTATTGAACACAACGAAGTCTTTCTATATCTTGACTTCTATGAAAAACTAATATAATCTTCTAAAAATAAAGTTAAGATATCCGTTGCTGATTATAATATTAAGAAACTAAGTGTCTTCATTTGATGACATTTCTAACAAAGTATTGAAGATTTCAGCTCCAGTAATCTCTGCATAGCCAAGCTATTATCCAAAACATTTTAAGTATTCAAAGATTATACGACTACACATAAAGAGTAACACCCAAGACCCAAATAACTACAGGCCTATTTCTATACCTTATTCCCTTTCCAAACCATTATAAATAGACCTGTAACATTCCACGCCGTTTGGGTGGATATTTACTAGGTAGTTACATTGATGTACAGAGTATAGTAAATAAATAGCGAAATAAGTAAAGGAATGCATAAGATACATTGAATTTAAAGCTTGTAGGTTAAAAAATTGGACAGAGGCTGGTTTGGAACATTTTTGCAAACAAAAGTGGTGAAAGAGTATAACGTATGGAAGAATAGTCGAAAACAAAGCTGATTTGCGTGGATTTCAAATTTCATCCCATTCTGTACAATAAACATAGTAAATACCAAAGAATATGAATACAAACGAGACGAAAGTGTTGGGGTGGGTTGGGGGAAATTTTCTCATAAAAGAGTTCAAATAAGATCATATACGTTATTAAAGTTAACAAAACAATTGTAAGTATAAATTTACAGAAAAAAACAATGAATACAAAAGGAGGATGTGTCATTGGGGTCATTTTGTACGTTGTGGACCAAAGTACAGGTGGCCAACCTGTCTGGGGAGCCCGTCTACATCTCCAGTAGGACCTGTCTAGCCACGATCCACCCGCTCGAGCTGGTCCCTCCAAACCTGTAGTAGAGGGTTAACTCTCTAGTGGCTGAGGTGGTCATAGATTCGTCCCTGTCAACCGCGACTCACCCTTTCACACCAGAGCTTTCATTTTCCAGCCTGATGGCAGAAACCCTGGATCCACCACAGCGGGCGTTTCTGGAGAAATTACTCCGGGTATTCACAGATGTCTTTGCTTGGACGGACGACCAGTTGGGTTTTAAGAGATAAAACACAGCATCCCACTAACCAGCGACGTACCAGTGGCGTTGCCATACCGCCGAGTTCCACCTACAGAGTTCGCTACAGTAAAAAAAAAACGCACAGAAAAGTTGATGGCCAGGGCATTATCCAACCCAGCACCAGCCCCAATGCAGCTCCAATGGTCATTGTAAAGAAGAAGAATTGCGAGATCCGATTATGTTGCGATTACAGGAGGCTGAATGGCATAACCCGGAAAGATGCGTTACCGCTGCCCAGAATTGATGAAACTTTAGATGCCCTGACTGGGTCGACCTTCTTCTCATTGCTGGACTTAGCCAGTGGCTACCACCAGATTGCCATGGCTGAAGAAGACCAGGAAAAGATGTCCTTCGTAACGCCCTTTGGTCTGTACCAGTGGACCAGAATGCCCATTGGTCTATGTGGAGCAGTCCAGACTTTTTCCAGATTGATGCAGGGGGTGAAGGGTGAGCACATCATGAGAATCATGCTGGCCTATCTGGACGACATCTTGATATATGCCCCAGACTTCACCTCACACCTGGCCAACCTGCGCACGATACTCGCACGGCTGAGGGATATCGGCCTGAAACTTAGCCCTGAGAAATGTGTATTTGGGGTGGAGAGCGTGCACTACCTGGGACATGTGGTGTCCAGTACTGCCAGGCATGTGACCGCTGCCTGCATGCCAAAATGGCTGGTCTGAAGGTGCACCAACCTAAGGATCATCTTTTAGCCACCATGCCCCTAGAGGTTGTGGCCATCGACTTCACCCTGATGGACAAAGCGGCAGATGTGTTGGTACTCACAGATGTGTTCACAAAGTGGACTGTCGCTGTTCCGACTAAAGACCAGACTGCCAAGACCGTGGCGAAGGCCCTGGTCCTGAACTGGATAGTTCACTACGGTGTCCCTAGGCGACTACACTCTGACCAGGGCAAATGTTTTGGGGCAGCCGTCATACTTCAACTGTGCGACCATTATGGTATACAGAGGTCCAGGACAAGGTAACGGCCAAGCAGAGAGGTTCAAGCGGACACTACACGATCTGCTACGGACCCTACCTGTGGACAAGAAGAAAGACTGGCCTCGGTACCTGTCCGAGCTTGTCTTCCTCTACAACACGACATGACACACGTCTACAGGTTTCTCCCCGTTCCAGCTTTTGTTTGGACGTGAAGCAGAGATACCTCTAGAGATACCAAGCCCCTGCGTCCAGTAGTGGTGGTGCTGGGGATTACCTCTAGCAACACATAGCACGATTGGCCAGCCTACACAATCTGGCGCAGGAGAGGCTACAAATGGAGGCAACCAGGACGGACAAACAGATCAGCAATAGGCCAGTAGCTGAACTAGTCACAGGCGACCTGGTCCTGTTGAGATAGCACCCCCTTGGCAGACACAAAATGGAAGACCTATATGGCACAACCATATTATATGTGGTGGTCGAAGTGCCCCCGATCACTGGCGGGTGCTATGCCATCAAGAAAAGGGATAGACCCTCCGGCACCCGCAGGGTGGCCAGCACCCACATAAGAAGATATGTGCCTCCCAAAGCTCAGACGCTCTCCCCAAGGCCGGTGAAGTTAAGTCCACCGGCAGCTCCAAGACGCAGACATGTAGTTTATACAGTATCAATACCGGGACCCCGAGCAACAGTTAAACCCGGTAACCCCACAGTACCTGGCACACCTCTGAGCAGGTCAAACATGGAGCGCACCCCCCCCCCCCCCAAGTAGGCTAGATTTATAAATGTACCATGTGTGTTGAATTCAGAGGCGTAGACACTACTAGACTAGTACAATAATGCTTAATTGCTGCATGAAAAGAAATCTTGTGATTTGCATAGATGTGCCGACCAAAAATATTTTTTAACAAATATCATTGTTTAAAACTGTGAGTTTAAAAAGTTTCCAAAAAAGGCGCTACTTTGCTGAAAATGGCCAGAGGGGGAGCGGCCGCTCCCCCTGCTCCCCCCCCCCCCCTGCGTACGCTACTGGTTGAATTGTGTAAAATTTCATTTTTGTAAAAGTTTTATGTTTCATATGAACTCCACGTTTATGTAAGATATGTATTGTTGTGAAAGTTTTTATTGGTTCTTATGAACACATCTGATGTAAGTTTTTTATTGGTTCTTATGAACCCTAAGGTTGGAATTTTTTTTATTTTACTTGTTTGAACTGTTACCCTGGCATTGGCATTTTGTTATACTAGCTATAGTACTTTGTTTTTTATTTGGCTTGCGGTGACCACAAGCTGTAAGGGGCGTGTATGTGAGCGGCTGGAGTGTTGTTATTATTATTTTATCTATAACTTAAAATGGCGAATGTATCGTTTCGTTTCATCTCGTAAACTGTTCGTTCTTTTTAGTTATGTAGTCCTGTATAATGGCGCTGCTGTATAATTGTTTATGTTGCTGTCTACGATTAGTTTGTATATATTTTGTTTATATTGTTGTCAATGTTTGTATAAAGTATCTTTTTGTATAATTCTGTCGTATGTTTCATGGCGTGTTGTTTGCTATCTGTGAATTAGGGACTATTTGTTTACGTGTAGTCTGCGAGGTGTGTGGAAGTCAGTTTCCGGCAGATGTTGAAGGAACAGGAAGGTTGTCTGTGTGTTTAGAGAGCCTAGACTCTCCGGTACAGCAGAAGTCGGCACCGCACCATCTATATTTTTAACTTTCTCAAATCATTTCTATTAAGCTTGGTAAGCTAGTTACTCATTTGTAAAATAGTTGAGATTTTTGTAAACACTAAGTAATTATTAGGCCGCCTCATTGCTTAGATGGCTGGATTGACCTCTGACCCTGAAACGTCACGCGTCGTTTTCTGACGGTTTTTACGTTTATTTTAGGGGTCCTATCCACGACAAATGAAAAAGCTGTTAATCTCGCAAATTCTTATCATTATTTTAACACAAGATGCTAATAATATGGATAATATGCCTTAGAATGCCAGAAAAAATCGCTAGAATTGTAGTTGTAAATAATGAGAGGATTTCTAGTGGAGCACTCTCCGTATAAACTGAACCGCGGCCAAAAACGACCGTATAACCTGGAAAACGGCCCGTATAACAGTAGATTAATATATAATTGAGATATTTACCATGTATATTTACAGTATTATGAATGATCTTTACCAAAAATCCAATTACCCCGTAAGTAACCATGAGAAAATTTCTCTCTGCTATTTTTAGTAACGTTGCGTCATTGTTACGCTAGTTGCCAGACAGAAACAACTAGTTTTTGTTTTTTACGGAATGAACTGTTAAGTCTAGTATTTTTATTATAATTCAATTGTAGCATGTGCGGAAAATTATGGACATTATTATTGTATTAGTAATTTTATTAGTATATTGATTTTTTCTTCACTGTGGGCCAACAGTTGCATTCGTGACCGGTGGTTAACCTCGTCAACGCTGCGTGGCCTATTCGTTTATATAATTAGTGATGCTCGTTCAGTGGCCTTTTTCAGAGCTAGGCCTAATTACGGGCGATTTTTAGACTTAATTGATCGGCCGTTAGCCTTTTTCATTGCTGCGTATTTAAAAAAAAAATGCTCGTTCAGCGGCCTTTTTTTTTTTTTGGCGCTAAATAATCTGTTTACGGGCATTTTAAGCGTTTATTTATTTTTTTTTAAGCTAGACATAGACAGATCTAGTTAAAAAAAATAATCTAGCATGCCTGATATGGAACTTTAAAAAAAAAATGACCGAACTTTTTAAAAAATGTCCAGAAGTAGGGAAGTAGGTCTGTTTTTCAATTTGCTTGAAGAAGGGGGGGGGGAAGAGAGAGTGAAGTGAAGACACCGACCATCTCGTGTACGCGTGTTCATTCTATGACGTGTACTATAGGCCTGCTGAAGTCACGGTGACCCCGTGACCGTGGTGGGATTTTTCATCCATGGGATAGTAAACGTAAGCAAGCAATCACGCGAGTGACGATGTTTGGAGATTTTATTTTTAAAAAAAATCACATACGTCATGCTTTCAAGATGAAAAAAAAAATGTAATGTAAAAAAAAAAAAAAAAATACACTAATACCATGTATGAACCTCAGCTGCCACACTGTTAATTTATAAACTATCATAACTATTACTATCATATCATTTTAAGCATATTTATTATTTAAAATTAGAAAATTAGAATTTGAAATAAAAATATTTATTATGGTCATTTGATTTATGCAGGTGTTCATTATTTCATAAAATGGTATGAATAACATGTAGAGTAGAACTTAATAAATAATAAAATAACTAGATCTAGTTTTATTATCAACCAGTTGCTTTTTGTTATTTTCCGGTGAGTAAATTACCTAAGCTGACGCAATTACCATGGCGGGAATGAAAAGCTCGTGGACACGAGTCCACGACGTAATGTTATGCCGGTCCAGGAGTAAGAATGCTGTTTCCTCGTTCATTTTCCATTTTAAGATAATTTTTAAATTCTCTCTTTTTTTGTCAACCGAGTAAGCTAGATATTTAAATGTGGTGTCAAATGTTCTCTTAAGGGGTAAGGAAGTTAATGGTGTATTTAAAATAACAGAATATTTTATTTTAAAAAATCCATAATTCAACCTAGTAATTATCATATAAAAATTATTACTTAAATAAGTAAAATTAATATTATTGTGTTGGGCTTTCAATCAGAAATGGGTAGGCTAAAAGGATATAAATCGTTTTGCTGCATAGCATAGTAAGTGTAGGACTACTGAAAAGAAATAGATCTATATCTGGCAAAGCTAAAAACATGAAAATAATTCAGTGCTTAACAGCAGATCTAGACCTATGTAGATAATAGTATTTAAAAACATAACATGACCGCTGCAACTGCTATCAATATAATATAATGTTTAATAATTTGGAATCTTAGATCAAATAAATATTGTTTTCAAAAGTTTATTCGAAATAAAATTTCCAAACATCGTCACTGTCATGATTGCTTGCCTTACGTTTACTATCCCGTGAGTGGAAAATCTCAGCAGGCCTAAAGCATACGTCATAGACGTTCACACAAGATCGTCTGTCTTTACTTCTCTCTTCCTCCCACCCCCCTCAAGCAAATTGATTTTTTTTTAAGTCCACGTAGGATAAACAATATAGACTTAGACGCATGCTAGACAGCTAGGCCTAAAGGTTAAAGGACAGTTTGATTTAGCTAGGTTGCTGCTAGATCTAGGATTATCATCTGACCTCACAAACTTTCCTTGACACTACACTGTACTGTTTTTTTTTAAAATGTACTAGATTCTTAGGTGTTGAAATAATATAGAGAGCTAAATACATTTTAACTCGATCTAGATCTATGTCAACATTAAATTGTTACCACGGAAAAAAAATCGGGCAGTCCTGATATCTGTTTTTTGCGGCCAAGTTTATTTTAGGACAGTACTTCTGGTTTTTATCATGGATATACATGCACCAAAGATAAATTGATACCTTTATGATAAGCAAGCAGGGTTGTAGCAAGTATATTTGAACTGTTTTTGAACCCCTATACCACAACAGGAGAAAATTAGGCCTATTGATTGATATAATATTTTTTTAGTGTAAACCCTAGCCTCTGATCATAAGCCTATACAAGAATATATATAATTGTATGTATTTAATATTGTTATTGTTCTAATACAAGCAAATATATAATTATTAAACCTTTAAAAAATATTTAGGCCTAAAGTAATGGATCTCTCCACATCTTATGAAGAGAGTTACTGAAAGTTAAAACCTTTTTAAATATTATTCTTGTAGATGTATTAAAATATAGATATTTTAGGGGGAAAATGTTTTAAAATTTTTTTTTGTTCATATGTATTTTTATTTTCTCTTTTTTAGCCATCCATTTAAATTTATGCAGAACAGACTGGGAAAATCAGCCATGTCTTTACAAAGTGCACTTGTGGTTAAACAGGAATCAAATGACCAAGCAATACAATTTATGGATTTAAAATCTTGTGTAACATTGGCAATTTCAACTTTAGAAGATGTGAAACCAAATTTATCAAATTTAATTTCAACTTCAAATGTTATAAAACTAAAAAATTCACCTTTTGAAGACAAGTCAAATGAAAAAGTTGCATTTTCAACTTCAGATCAACACTCAGATGAAAGACTATCTTATTCTAAAGATATGAAACCAAATGTTTCAACGGAATTTTTAAGGTGTGATGTTATGAAAAAGGATATCTTAACTTTTTCATCATTTAAGGTTGAAAACGAAAATAGCTTAGATGTTAAAAGACAGCTTGAATATTTACCAGATTCTGATGCTTTTATTGAAAATTTTAAAGTTTTAAAATCAGATCTTCATCATGATTTAAAAGAACTCAAGGAATTGCATAAAGAAGTTATTGATAATTTTCCAACAATGTATGAATTCAGGGATAAGGAACTGAAGACATATAAGTGTGATATGTGTTGTCAAAGATTTACTCATTTTCATCATATTACACAACATATGAAAACTCACTTAGGAAAGAATTTGTTTGGTTATGATATTCATCAGCAACAAGGTGCTATGAATAGTCATGTAAAACAGCTTAAGAAAATGAACAAGACGTTTTCTCTGCATAAATTACATTCTGAAGACAGATGCAATGAATGTGATGTGTGTCATAAAAAGTTCACTGTGAAGACTCAGTTATCTGAACATAAAAATACACATTCTAATCTCAAGCCATATGAATGTGATGTGTGTCATAAAAAGTTTGTCAGGCAGTCTTGTTTATCTAAACACAAAATTATTCACTCTGGACTAAAGCCACATGAATGTGATGTGTGCCATAAAATGTTTGTTCAGAGGTACAATTTATCTAGACATCAAAAAACTCATTCTGGGCTTAAGCCATATGAATGTGATGTGTGTCATAAAAAGTTTGTTCAGAGGTACAATTTATCTAGACATCAAAAGACTCATTCTGGGCTTAAGCCATATGAATGTGATGTGTGTCATAAAAAGTTTGCTTATAAATCTAGTTTATATACACACAAAATGATTCACTCTGGAAATAAGCCATATGAATGTGATGTGTGTCATAAAAGTTTCAAGCGTAAATTTTATTTATCTCAACATAAAAAGATTCATGCACAAATAAGGCCACACGAATGTGATGTGTGTCAAAAAACTTATGTTCGAAAAGTTGATCTGTCTCAACATAAAAATGTTCATTTACCAATTAGACCACATGAATGTAATGTGTGTCATAAAAGGTTCACTCTGAAGAAAAGTTTAATTACGCACAAAAATATTCATGCTGGAATTAAACCACATGAATGTAATGTGTGTCATAAAAGGTTTATACAGAAAGTTACTTTAAAAAGTCATAAAAATAAACATTTAGGACACAGACCATACCAATGTGACTTGTGTCATAAAAAATATACTGAAAAGTGTGTCTTATCTAAACATATAAATGTTCATCTTGGACTGAAGCCACATAAATGTGGTGTGTGCCATAAAATGTTTAGTCAGCAAAGTTCTTTATCTATGCATGAAAAGATTCATTCAGGAGACAAAAGACATGAATGTGATGTGTGTCATAAAAAGTTCACTGTGAAGACTCAGTTATCTGAACATAAAAATACACATTCTAATCTCAAGCCATATGAATGTGATGTTTGTCAAAAACGTTTCAATCTTAAATTCTATTTATCTGAGCATAAAAAAACTCATGAAAAACAATATGAATGTGATGTGTGTCATAAAAAGTTTGTCAGGCAGTCTTATTTATCTAAACACAAAATTATTCACTCTGGACTAAAGCCACACGAATGTGATGTGTGCCATAAAATGTTTGCTCAGAGGTCCCAGTTATCTAAACATCAAAAGACTCATTCTGGGCTTAAGCCATATGAATGTGATGTGTGTCATAAAAAGTTCACTGTGAAGAATAGTTTAATTATACATAAAGATATTCATGCTGGAATTAAACCACATGAATGTGATGTATGTCATAAAAAGTTTAGACAGAAAGGTAATTTAGAAAAACATAAAAATAAACATTTTGGACACAGACAATACCAATGTGATTTATGTCATAAAAAATTTACTGAAAGGTGTGTCTTATCTAGACATTTATATATTCATATTGGACTGAAGCCACATAAATGTGGTGTGTGCCATAAAGAGTTTAGAGAGAAATGTTCTTTAACTATACATGAAATGATTCATTCAGGAATTAAAAGACATGAATGTGATGTGTGTCATAAAAAGTTCATTAGGTTAAGTAATTTATCTGACCATAAAAATACACATTGTGATGTTTGTCAAAAACTTTTCAATTGTAAACGTGATTTATTTCAACACAAAAAAACTCATGTACATGAGAAACCATAATAAAAACACAAAATTATTCACTCTGGGCTAAAGCCACATGAAAAAAACATAAATCAATTCACTCCAGAAAAAAAAAATGAGTGTGATGTGTGTCATAAAATGTTTTCTAGGAAATCTTCTTTATCTACCCATCAGAAGTCTCATTCAGGAAATTAGCCACCTGAATTTGATGTTGGTCATAAATTTCTTATTCACAAGGATCACTAATGTGTTTATGATAAAATGCTGAATTTTGTGCCGAGGTCACAATGTGAATACAGAAAACATGACTGAATTTGATGTTTGTCATAAAAAAAAATTCTCATTGTCGTTAAGTGTTGCATACATGATATAATCCTCATCATAGTATAATTTGTTCTATACAAATATATTGGTTATCTAAGAATTTTATTTTAAATATATATATGTATATATATATAGGAATACCTCCTCATCAGATGGCAAGGTTATTGACCTCCATAGTCTTAATGATGAAAATTGTAACTAATCTAACAGGAATCTATTCATGTAAAATCTAAGTTGGTTATAGGGTTACCATTTTTTTATGTGTCAGATAACATGCCATACTTGTGTTCTAAACCTCTTTTGTATTCATTTATATAAAAAAGCAAAGAATTTTTTTTTTTTACAAATGATTTTTCTGTAAAATATTTTTTACATAACTACATTATGATTTAATAAATTATGGACATATTCATATGTACTCTGTGTATTAAGTATTGTGTAAACATAGTTTTACAATTAATAATAAGGTCTAATGGCATTCAACGTACTAACAACCACAGCTGTAATATACACTCGGTGACAGTATCCAACAATCCTAATATATAAAAACCTGTGTACGCACTTCTCTCTCTCAACATATTTTCTGAGGTTATGAGATCAGTGAAGGGACAGAGTAGCCTAGACTGTTAACTCGTTAGTCTCAAGTTTGAAACCACGTTCTACTTCAAGTCAATAGACCATCCCTCAGTCCACACAGCTCTGTTAAGGGTTATTGCCTAATAGACCGTCAGTTTTGGAGGGGAAATTTACCTTTGAGAACATAAGGTTAAGCAATATATGGAGCACTATAAGATACAGCTTTTTAAAAAAAAAGTTATATGTTGGATGTATTAAATATATTAACTAAACTGTATTAATGTATATAATTATATTATAATTTAGTTTTAATTTTTCCAATAGGTATTGGTAGCTTGGGTTATATTAAAACAAGTGTAACATTTAAAAAATATATGGCTATAAGTATAATTCACATGTAACAGGTACAGATGGCTAGTTATTACATATATGCTTATTATTGCAAGCATCTTTAAGAGTACTTTTTAATATTTAATACAATAGAGTTGCATTACTAAAAACTTTTCCATTACATGAACCCGAAACATATGCAGTAAATAGTGTTATATATATTTATGAAACTTTTTTTTCAGACGTTTTCGCCTTTTAGAAACACTGACTTAGTCAGCTTTCCGCATAGAGCAGATTCTCTCCAGTAGTCAAGCAGACAAATAAATATTCAAACATGTAAACAAACTTGAGTTTTAGTAGTATAGAGATATGAATAATCAGAGGAAATAACCACGTTTGGACTATATTGCAAAAAAATATTTATGTGGTTCTTTCCCTTTGTCCAAAAAAAGTCTAAAACGACAATTGTGAAGTGCTAGAACATATGTTTCCAAACGTTTTCTAGTTGCGACCCCCTTTTATAACAAGTAAGTGACCCGCAAGTCCCCGTAAAAAAATAAAAGAGAAATGGCCCCGAAGTCCAAAAGAAAAAGTAAGGAATACCTTCGAATGAATTTTAAATATTCAGAGGAGATAACCACGCTTGGATTATTGTGTAAAAATATTATGTAGTTGTTCTTCCAGGCATCTCTTCTGGGGGAAGGGGGCTCTACCGTCCCCCCCCCCCCCCCCCCCCCCCCCCGAAAAATGTTTACCGCCCCCCCCCCCCCCCCCTCGGAGAAAGAAGTCTGGAAGAAACACTGGTCGACCAGTTTGCGATCCCCCAGAAAGCCCTTCACGACCCTCTTGGTTGTAGCGACCCACAGTTTTCGAATCCATGGTCTAGTTAGTATTAAAAGCTTCTTGTGGATTAATTATTGTTTTTACATATAAACAAGCTTTTATTTAACTCACTTCCTCGACAGTCTGTCTGTCTGTCTGTCTAGACCGAAACGCCGGAGTGAAAATTCGGAAACTTCACCGATACTATTCACACTTGGCACGTGGGTCAAGACATGAAGACAATGCAATCTGAAATTAAATTTGCCTTAATTGGATGCCTAATTACTTTTTAATTAAAATTTGGACCGAATTAGTAGGCATGTCTATCTAACAACACCACACTCGTCATCACGTTCAATAGCTGAGCCATCACGTTCAGTAGGCGCGCAATGGTTTTTAGTCATGTAACTGTAATGTAAATAAAACATGTAAAGAACTGAAAAAAAAATTCATAAAAAACGTTTTAATAACATTAACAAGCTTTTATGTAATAATGCACTAAAAAGTAGAAAATAAATTATCGATTACTATTTAAATAACTATAAAGAAAAGCGTGGGTGTCTTCCTTAACATCAGTAAAGGTATCCAATAGATACTAAAGTGACCCACGCTTTTCTTTATAGTTATTTAAATAGTAATCGATAATTTATTTTCTACTTTTTAGTGCATTATTACATAAAAGCTTGTTATTAAAACGTTTTTTATGAATTTTTTTAAAAAGAATTTTTAAAAAGAGATAAAAATGTGTTTATAGTTTTATCAAAATCAGCTTATTTGATATCATTTTTCTGGCTACGTAGCTACAAATAGGCCTATATGATTTTTAAATATGAAATTACTTGATGCATGGATTTTTATTAATCAACAGTGCATTTCTTACATTACAATCATCTTTATTTCAAGATTCTGCTGTCTCGATTATGAATATTTTAGTCCTATATACGGCTTTTTTTTACTGACATTATAATCTATTGTGACACGTTGTAATAATTTGTACACATCTCATTATGGGAGGGTTGAGCTAGAAGTCACAATGCTGTCTATTTGTAATATTTGAACCATTTAAAGAAAATTAACAAGTAAAATTAACTTAAACATTTTAATTTGAAGCTTATTTTTAACTTGCTTCCTCTGTCGTAATAGATCGAGACTGCCAAGCGAAATTTCGAGCACTTCTCACAGTGGCCCCTTTGCTTTTGTATGTTCGATACTAAGAATGGCTAAGTTACTAACCCAAAGGGCATATCTACAACTTGATTCATAACATCATCATAATGAAGAGACTCGGTGCGCCCAACAGTATAGGCTGCTATTGTTGAGGCGCTGGAGGACACCCCTTATTTTATTAAGTCATCGAATATAGTAGTTCTCCGTATCTCTATGGCATGGTGCTCATTAAAACAAGTATATGTGCCGTAGTGCTCACAAGGGAGCCAGGGGTGCCGGCTGGTGCGCTTGTGCAGTTTGGCCCTTGAATAAAGCAGTAGCCCTAACCCCTTGTGCAGGACGCCTAATCAACTGACCCCAGGTGCTAATACAGCCGCTGGGAAACTCTGGGTGACGAACTAAACCGCCTTACTGCCAGGGCGCTGCTCTCCGAACGAAACAAAGACAACATTAATTGCAGAAAACTTTACAGGTGTTTCTTTCTGGCTTCTCTTTGAGGGGAGCCACTGCTCCTAGTGTGTGGGGTTGCAAAGGAAATGTTACGGTAAGTTGAAGTATGTTTGAAGTATTCTAAACTACTTCCTAGTTTTTCTATGGCGATTGGTTCAGTTTTGTATTAATGCATAAAGGACAGGCAGACAGAAAACAAAAATCTTTTAGTAGTAGCGGCATATTATCAAAGATAAATTAAATCAATCAAAAAAATGTTGTTAAGATTAAAACTAGTAGAAAAACATTGACAAATTTTTGACTTATCTGTCCACAGCTGTTATTTAAAAAATAAATAAATAAACCGGGAGTGATCTCCCCTAAACTTTCTCGAATATTCTTATATAAAACAACAGGGGATGGGAACTCGGGATATAGTTATGATTTTTAATCCATTTTAAATACATAAACTTTTTAAAATAAAATAGAATCTCATAGAAAAAAGTATTGTACACCAAGTGAACGCCGAATAAAGATGTTCATAATGGTGCGCATTATTATTAGTACTTGATAAATTTACATGCGTTTTTGAGAAATCGGAAATAGCGTAAATTAGTACTTCCCGTCAACGGAAATTACTCAAAATTTAACAGAAGGTAGAGAATTAGATGTTTTACTTACATGTGAAATTTCATTTATCTATCTGAAATAGTACTCACGTTATAGGCTTTTGAAAAATTCAAAGTAGAAAAAGTACCACTTCCAGTTATCGGAAATCGCTCAAAAGTTGATACGGATCTACGATTTTGATAAAATACTTATATATGAAATTTCATCAACCTAGCTGTAACGGTACTCAAGTTATCGTGTTTACACACACACAGACACACACACACAGACATACGGACAAGATTGCAAAATTATGCTTTTCCGTATCAGTGAGGTGTAAATATTTTTTTTTTTGCACGATTACAATACTTTCTCTATACTTCGTATATACGAGAAAGTAAAAATGGCTCAATTGTAATCATGGATTGATGGAATTTCGGTGAGGACAGACAGTTGGGGATCATCCATAAATGACGTCGCGCTTACCTACCCCCTCCCCTCCGTCACACTACGTCAAAAAAAGCTAGACCCCCCCCCCCTAAAATGACGTCACACTTGAGCCTACAACCCCCCTCAAAATTGCAGTTGATTTTTTTAAAACATCGATATTTTTCAAAATCTTGTCTGAACTCTGTCAAAATAGAGTATTTTAATCAATTCTTATTACAATTTATTAAAACAGTTTTCTAAAACGCGAAATAACGTCTAAAATTCGTTTTCTAACATTGCTTTTTTATATTGCAAAAGTGTGACGTCGCACTATCTGAACCCCCCCCCCTCCCCCTCATCACACACCGTCACAAAATTACGGATCCCCCTCCACCCTAATAGTGTGACGTCATTTATGGACGATCCCTTGAGGGGGGGGGGGGGTAAAGGTTTGTCGGGGCAAGGTAGAGAATCTCCCAGTCTGCTGAAGGTTTGTAGCGATGCTTGCAAATGTACGGGTGCCGGATGCCTATCGCACAAAAGAGTTCATTTTTATTCTAATTCTCTCAACGGCTTTACCGACAATGAAGCAACGCCTGTAGTGTTATTACCGGGGAGCTATATAGCCCCCCCCCCCCACACCCAAACTGAATGCCATTACCTCTACAGTTAGAACGGTCTGGGGGGGGGGGGGGTTGGAACTTATGATTTTTTTTCTACAGTAGAAAAGAAACTGGATTTCCATTTTTTTTTTTAAATTATTTTTATAAGAGAAATATTAAAATTCCAGTGTAAAAGTTATAATTTTCTTTAAAGAGGGAAAAGGTCCCCTATTTTCCTTGGGCCCCTCCTATGCCTTGCTTACGCAAGCTTTACAGTAGCTACGCCACTGACTTCTCACTGACCAATTCGTTTCCAACTTGGCACGTGGGTCAGGACCCGATCAAGATGTAATCTGACATCAAATTGGACTTCTAACCTCACTCAGTATGTCAATTGGCTCTACAACAATTTTTGACAAATTGTTTTTCATAACTTTTTTTTTTTTAAACCCACTTTGAAAACTCGAATTTGGCTGCTTTAAAGTTTAATGTTGGCGAAGACCAGTACTGTTAATGCAAAACCGCACTCTCTCTGCTGAAATTGCACACAATGTCTCAAGTAGGAAGCAGTGTTTCTTCCAGGCATCTCTTCGGAGGGTCTCCGCCCCCCTCCCCCTCGCCTCCACCCGAACGAAGTGGAATTTATATCGAAAATATATACTTTTAACAGTGACCGCCCCCCCCCCCCCAGCAACGTGCCCCCTTTTTCGCTCTTAGGAGAATGAATAAACTGGCAGCTTGGTTAAATTAATAAACAAAAAATATATGAAAATATTACAGTAGAAATCTACAGAGAGTGCTGCTTTCAAACATAGATCTAGATCTACTCTAGAAGTGAAGACGAAGTTCATTATTAACAGATAGTTCCGATTACTAAAATTGACAATGGCTTCAAAATATTTGGTTTAATAGTTTTATCCCTCTACCACTTAATGAAAACGAAACAAACTGCCATCTTGTTAAATAGTTCCATTCTGGTCTAGTGTTAGGCCTAGGGCTGAAAGATGGATATAAATAAACCCGGAAGCTGTGAACGGAAACGCCTACCAAACCTGAACAAACCCGTTCATTCTACGCCTATCTAACAATCTAAACTAAAATTCTAAACTCTATACTAAACTTAGCGGTAGGTATTTGTAAATAATAGACTAACGTAACAAGTAACAGTAACACACTCCAACTCAGTGACTCACAGAGTTCTGAGTGAGTAAACTCAGTAAAAAGGCAGGCCGGATGATATTTAGAATCGACCATTTGAATCCCGGACATATCGTCCCCCCGGCGTGGCCTCAACCAACCGGCGGGCTCGTTGCATTGAGTTAAATATAAACTCAAAACAATAATATAAACAATCTCCTTTCGGTCGGTCAGGCCACATACCACGCACGCATAGTGTTTTGTGTCGTGCCTTAACCAAAATAAACTATCTCCCTTCATTATCATTAGACTTAATTAATTAATTAATTTGCTAATTATAAAATTATGTATGATGCTATAGAAGTAGGTAAGTATAATTTTTACTATGTATTTGTACTATTAAACATATTATTAAAGAACATCGTTGTTTCAATACCACCCTCTCCCCTTCTTGAACTCAAAGTTAAACTTGTAACCCCGTTTGTAAAGACTAGCGGTATGCTGTAAGGCGGCGGGTGGGTAGGGTATATACTCATTGAAAAAAAAATCCACCGTGGTGCGTGTTATTGGCCTTGGGCGACCGTTGTTGGCGCTTCCTGTGAGGGGGAGAGAGGTGTGTGTTATACTCGGTGAAAAAAAAATGCACCGTGGTATTGGCCTATGATGACGTCGGCGCTAGCGGGAAGGGGTGGGGGGGGGGGGGACGTTTTTTTTTTTTAAAACCAAGAACTAGGCGTTTCAAGGCAGTAATGAAAATCAAGGACTGGTATAGTCATGATGTCGAATTTAACGAGTGATGCTTGCTTGGTCTATCATACGATTGCTTGGCGATGGGAGTCTCGTCAAGCTCAGGTTACATTATTAACAGTGAACTATTGGGATGCTGTCATACACAAAGTAACAGCTACCGAATGTAGCACTTAAAACATCGAGTGCATCCCGCTCATTATAAATCTTTGAAATACAAGTTATGGATAGTCCAATAACTACTAATACTTGAAGGACTACCAGAATATATGCATTGTATTATAAAATTAATCCTTACTATATAACTAAAATGTGTATCCAAATATTTTTAGGCTAACGGGATCTGCATTTAAATAAACACAGTCAAATACCTACCCCATTCAGTAGAAATATTAGGCTACTTTTGCATGGTAGCACTACGGCATTTTTTAGATTTCGTAATGAGTAGCCTAGTCGAGCATTAAACTAGAATAAAGGGTTGTACTCAATAGCAATGACGATAATGAAATGCCGGCTTCAAATACCGGCTTCCCCGTATTTGTGGACTACAAATATAGCTCCGTCGTTTAAATGACCCCACCCTCCACCTTTTGCCTAGTTGAATATAGTAAAGTTACACTTTCAACCCCGTTAGGATGCGTGAACTACTGAACTATTGAAAAAAAATCTATTCTGGTGTTAAATTCCCCTCCCCTACTCCCAGCATTTAACTTTGGGGCCATACACATCAGGAAGGTCTAGGTCGGCGTTTTATCTCGTGCAAGTTTACTCACAACACGACTACACACTATGGTTCTATCCAGGATTAAAGCTGCGACACTTACTTAGAGTGGGATTTATTCGTTAGATCATTGTGCTTCAAATTCTGTTTCACTTTAGGATTAGAGTGATAGAATGTTGGAATTCAGTTAGTTTGTTAATTAATATATTGATCTAAATGTCGTGTACCGTCAGAAACTAAATTGGTTGACAAGGCACATGTGTAGGCTAAAGAATGACCTCTAGATCTAGATCGAGCCAAAGATGGCTGGTTAAGGTTGACATACTGTGGTTTTCAAATTTCATGGTGATGCTTTTCTAACGGATTTTATTTTGTGCTTTCTTTGGGATTATTTTGTGTGATGTGAATAATCAAAAGTAATTTGTAAGTAGTATGCTTTTCACATTCAACCAACTTAACAGTTTGCGGTCGATCTGCGGCCGGGCTGATTAATTTACATTTAGCGAAACTACACACTACACGGCGCCCTAAGGCCGTTGTTTCAGCATGCCCTACTAGTCAATTATAGACAACTTTAGAATCAACACATGTAGCCAATACATCGATTTTTATTTAATAATCTTCAAAAGCCATTCCTCTAGGCTAGGGTCGTTATTTTCACGAAATTGTCGTTTTCCAATTTGTTGTCAAGAAACTGGTATTTAGTTCACGAGAACGTACGAAAACCACTCATGCGTGACCGAAATCGTCGATCGGGTGCCTTCACGTGGTTTGACACGTGTTGACATGGGCCTTTGTTTACATCGAAACATAGCTCAAAACAGCCCTTTTTTGAATTAATTCTTCGAAAAAATGGCTATGTCCATTTCTAAAAAGGGTCATTTTCGGGCCCATTTTAAAAAACGTAAAAAAATCCGAACTACACGTAGAAAAAATGGCTTTTTCGGCCCTTTTTAGCTCCAAAAACGCCGTGTTTACGGGTCGCGTGACGTCATCGTGACGTCAGCCGCCAACCAAAACGCGTTGAAAGCGCGCGTTTGATTGGTTGGCGGCGGATACTATGAAATATCAAGGGTTTTCTCTAAATTTTTACCAAAAGGCCTGCTGAATGGAGGCGACCGAGTTGACGAGAATCCTTCCATCATATACTCATATAGAAATCTAGATCTAGTGCTTTTTTAGATTTTGCAATGAAAGCAACCGTAAAATAATAAAAAAATAAAAACTTAAGCCTAAAAAAAAAAAATCAGAAATTTAATAATTTTAGAATCAATGTTATAAAAGTTGCAAATCAAGAGAACTTAAAGAATTTTTTTAGTTTAAGGCTACATTAAACATAAACATTTCTAGATCTATGTATTTTCATCAAGGCATTATAACTCGACGTTTCACTTTCGTAAGACAAACATTGATTGGCTATACAGGAACCCTGTGATCGATTTCCGACAGCCCCACATTTCATTATAGCTTTTTGTTTACAAAACTTTGCAGATAAAGTTTTAAAATAACAATTCAAATTTTGACCCCATGATCTAGTTTTCCTTTTTTTCGCTTACAATGTGTACAATAAAATTTACGGTAGCCTATTGAATAGCAGGATGTAATTATTTATGTCGCCATTTCACGTGAAACTAAATTATTTTTGCTTTCTTAAAATTTTTATTTAGTTACCGAATGTATTAAAAACATCAAATCTTTAGTAAAGTCCAAAAAAAACCAGACAGACAAGAATTTATAACCATATTCATTATAATTACGCAGTGTATGATTTTTGAAATATTTAATGGGCCTCTAGAATACCTTTGAAACTTTACTCGCTCGTGTCTATTTATGGTGAACCTTCGACCATGTTAGGATTTTTCTCCAGCAGACAAGAAATTGTAAGCATTTGATCTCGGGAGCAATGATGTTGGAAAAACATCTATAATCCTTTTTTTTTAATATTTTATTTAAATCTAGAACAGATTTTAAAAGAAAAAAAACCCACTAGTGATAATTTCTATGTGAAAAAATAAAACAAAACAAGACTGATTCACCACTTCTGATTCCAAATCAGCTACCGAATTAATTTATTCACTCTGCCATGCCACGATGTGTTAAAAAATAAAATAGTAGGCTTTTTCAATCAGAAGACGGCTAAAACTAAAACCAAACACTGCTTCTTTTTGTAATAGCAAGACTAAATATATCGTGATTCCAAACATAAATTATTGTTTTGTATGAGTAAATAGTATTAGATCTAGAATCTATTTCTATACTACTAATAGTAGAGTATCTAGTTCTATATTAGAGTTTATTAGTTATATTTGGAGTATTGAATAGATTTTCCAATACAGAATTAAAAAATACTCTAACACTCACTTGTTTCATGTAGCCGCTGTATACATTTTACACAATTCCTATATCTTTAACGAACACAACGTTTGCAGTAATATTATGATGGATAGACTGAGCAGCATTGACGAGGTTAACCGAGTCTTAAAATAAAAAATTGCCCAGAGGCCTAATCAGATCTAGCACCAAAAAAAAAAGGTTACAAAACAATCATTGTTTAAAATATACTACTTAATTAAATACTACATATAATCTATATATATAATTCTCTTCTGGGAGCCGCTAGAAAACAAGCTGCAAACGCGCCTAGAAAACAAGCTGTAAACGCGCTCCCTACCTCTCCTCCCCTACATGGTTTTAGTGAGCTGTGTTCACTCTAAATGTTTACAAGCAGAGCCAACGATTTTAAACGTAGGGGGGGGGGGGGGAAGAGGGGGAGGGGTTATGGTCCTTAACGAGCTACTTATAGTGTTTTAAAGAAATATTTTCAGTGGCAGCGTTGGTACTGTCGAATTCACAAATTTTGAATTACTGAAAAGTAGAAAAAACAACAACTAAATAGCGGCGTATCTTATGCCGCGGGCCGGCTCGTTTCATATAAATCATATAGACTAGTTGAGTAGGCCACAAAGTTTTTGGCGCAGTTTAGTTTTTCCAGAGAGTGCTCCACCAGAAATGCTTGTATCAATTAGAACTACATATCTCGCAAAACATTTCTGGGATTTTAAAAAAAAGGCTTATTGTCCATTTCCTTAGTGTTTCGCATTATAATAATGACGAGATTAGCAGTTTTTTCATTTTTGTAGATAGCCCCCTAAAAAAAAAAAACGTTACGTTTCTGGGTTAGATGTAATTTCCAGTTTAGGAAATGAGATGGACTAAAATATATATATCTAAAATCATGCACATTGTAATTAAAATTAATATGTTTATAAAATCCTGACAGTTTTTTTTTCTGACTTAAAAGAGGGGATGTATTCAACGTTTTAAAATTTTCAGTAATTAAACACAATTTCTCCAATTGATGCATATTTGATATAAAGTGCAAAGTGAAAAAAAAGAAGCAATTACAAACATTAATATTGTTACATCTGAGAAAACCAAGAGAAAGATTTTCAACATTTTATAAAAATAAAATTCTTTTTTTAATATTTGATTTATTTAGCTAATTTCTATTTTATTTCAGTCTTTGACAATTGATCAATCCAAACCATGCAAAACACAAACGAAATTGATGGTATGGTGCAAAGTGCAGGTCACATTGAAATGGAGTTAAAATTCAAAGATATGAAATCAGATTTAGAAGATTTTAAACTAAGTATATTGCCACAGTTTTCAACTTTTGAAGACAAGAAACCAGATGAAACATTACAATATTTACCTAGTGAGGATGAAAAATCAAATGAACCAAAGCCACTTTTTAATTCCGATGGGATTAAATCAGATAATTTTACATTATATTCAACTTTTGAAGAAATGAAACCAACAGCTTTTCCTATGTTTGAAGATGTAAAGCCAGATATATTAACACTTTCATCATGGGAGAGTAAGCAGTATCATGGTTTAGAAGTACAACCACAGCTAAAAATTCCATCAGATTCAACTGCTATGAATGAAAATTTTACTGCTTTAAAATCAGATCATCATACAGCATTTATTGATAATCTCCCAATAAAACATCAGCTCAATGATAAGGGACAGGAGACATACAAGTGTGATATGTGTTGTCAAACATTTTCATGTTTGGATAATATTGCACAACATATGAAGATTCACACAGGAGAGATTCCCTATCAGTATGGTTTACATCAGCAAAAAGCTGTTAAGCAATTTAAGAAAATAGATACAGAACAGGTGAACGATAAGTCTGGTTTGCATACTGTAGATGGATCATATGAATGTTATATTTGTCATAATATGTTTAATCATTGGTCTAATCATTTGGCTGAGCATAAAAATATTCATTCTGGAATCAAGCAGTATGAATGTGATATTTGTCATAAAAATTTTAACTGTAAGAGTAGTTTACATCGGCATAAAAATATTCATTCTGGACAAAAGCAACTTGAATGCGATGTTTGTCATAAAAGGTTTAGACAGAAAGGTAATTTATCAGAACATAAAGCTATGCATTTTGGGATTAAGCCACATGAATGTGATGTTTGTCATAAAAAGTTTACCCATAGGTCTAATTTAACTAGGCATAAACAAATTCATTCTGGACTTAAGCCACATGAATTTGATGTTTGTCATAAAAAATTTAACCTCAAAAGTAATTTGTCTCAACATGAAATAAACATTCATGCTGGATTTGAGCCACATGAAACTGATGTTTGTCATAAAAAGTTTACATATGATGAAGGTCATTCATCAGAATGTAAAAAGGTTCATTCAGAAGAGTGTACAGATGAATGTGATGTACATCATATGATTAAGAAGTTTATTAGAAACAGTCATTTATCTGAACATAAAAATATATATTTTGGACTTAAGCCACATGAATGTGATATTTGTCATAAAACATTTACTTATGGATGTCATTTATCAGAACATAAAAAGGTTCATTCAGAAGAGAGGCCACATGAATGTGAAATATGTCATAAGAAGTTTATTAGAAAGGATCATTTATCTCAACATAAAAATATTCATTCTGGACTTAAGCCACATGAATGTGATGTTTGTCATAAAACATTCAATCATAGGTCTAATTTTTTTTGGCATAAACGTAGTCATTCTGGACTTAAGCCATATGAATGTGATGTTTGTCATAAAACGTTTGGTATGAAGTCACGGTTATCTAGGCATAAACAAAATATTCATTTTGGACTTAAGCCACACGAATGTGATGTTTGTCATAAAACCTTTTCCCAGAAGTCTCATCTGTCTAGACATTTAAAGTCTCATTTTGGACAAATGAGGCCATAAAATGTTTACTCAGAAGTATAATTTATCTAAACACAATTTTTTTTTACTCTGTACTTAAGCCACATGAATGTTGTGGTTGTCGTAAAACCTTTAGTGATCTAAATGTTCACATACACGCACACAAATCTTCAAGGAAGATATGACATTTTTTTTTCTCTAATGCATGTTTATTGCATCATCCATTTTAAAAATATACCACCAAATTGTAAATGCAGTTTTTATCTACAGAATGAAGTTTGTTTAAAATATTCACTTCATATTTGTTATGTGTGCTACATTTTGACCAAGAATTTGTGTATCTGACATATAGGCAAAATATGTACACTGTTACAAAATATGTGTGGAGCAACAATGTTCTCTCAACCAAGAGAAAATGAATATTTTAATTTATTGAATGTGTTTTTTATAAGATGTCTCATACTTTTTTGTGACCTTTATTTCATGTTTGCAAGAATAGCATACTGGCAAACTTTAGACAATTCAATTCACATAAAAATACATTTTTTTTTTCTTTTTATGCTCTTGATAAATTATTTAACATTTACAAAAAAAAACTTTTTTGTTATATAAACAATACCCAAAATATCTCAGAAAAAACAAAAAGCATTTTTATTTTATTAACAATATCTCAGATATATTTTTGAGGAATTCATATCAAGGATGATTAGATATAAGTTAGCGTCTATTCTAAATGGGATTTTGGAAATAAGTTAGACTGTCCATTTTTAGTACAGTATGCCAAATGCTAAAATGTAAAATATTAAAACATTATCAAAATAGCAGGACTACCTAAATTTTAAAGTAGTGCAAATTAAACAGATCAATGCATTAAAATAATGTGTGATAATTGCATTTGTAATTGGTTTTTAAAATTTCTTTCATATTTCTGTTACTAAAATTAATTTGGATTTGGTGATTCATGAGTCAGAAGAAGTGGAGTTCACCTGTAACTATGAATTCAGTGCATGAAGTATGTGGTCAGCACTATGTCCAAAAAAAATATTCTCTATAAATTAAAAAAAAAATATATATATTATGACAACTTTTTAAAATATGGATGTCACATGTTATTTTATAAAGGAAGTTGTTTGCAATATTTTGTTTCAAAATTCAGAATTTTTTATTGTATAGAAATTAAGAATGGTGTTGTGTGAATTGGGTTGAGGCTACATCTCTAGTAATACTTTGGTGGGTGGTGGTTTGTAAATATTGATATAGATTTACTACTATTATATGTATTTATTAATATTTATAAAAGTTGTTTATGTTCTTTTTCCATGTATCATTATTAAAAATGTGAGTTAGTAATAGTTGCTATATATATATATATATATATATATATATATATATATATATATATATATATATATATATATATATATATATATATATATTTAAAGCTTAAAGCTAATGTGAAAACTACAAGGATTATATACTGATATGTTATGTCTTGCTTGTTATAGTTAAAATGTGATATATGTGTATATATATACATACATACAAATATATATATATATATATATATATATATATATATATATATATATATATATATATATATATATATATATATATATATATATATATATATATCTTAGTGATTTCCCTTGAATGCGTAGTCTCTGTACTGTGTAGCCTAGTTGTTGATGTTACTGAGTTGGCTAGGAATGCTGTGTTACATTACTAGTTTCTCACAATAAAAGGAGACGTCTTCGCCTTTGTAGGCCTACTTTATTCTATATACGTCACAATTCTTATCACACGTCTTCTCTCATGTTTCCATCCACTGAAAAAAAAACCAACATGTAGGGATTGGCGTGGTCGATTCGGTTAAAGATGATGGTTGCTAAACCGATATGTCTTGAGTTCAACCCTGGGCAGATGAGGCTCGATAAGCTAGGGACAGTAACACTTCTAGGAGAGACCAACTCCAAAATCAAACAACTGCTGCCTTGTAGTTTGTTCTTGGTAGGACAATGGCTATGGAAGTAAATCCAAAAAGAAAAGCAGGCTGAAATCAGAGTCAACGGCCTTATGGGCAATAACTAGGCAGTTTGATGAAAAATTAATTTTTAAAAAAAAAGTATCAGTAATAGCTAGGACAATGATAAACTAAGTCAATTTAGCATATATAAACTTTCTGTGCAAAGTCATTATGACTGAAAAAAAATTCCAAAGTCATGGGTCCGTGTGGCATAGCTAATGAAGAAATAACTCCTAGACCTGTGACCTGATTTCATGAGTGGATATCTGGATTATTTTTTAACATTTTTCAATGAAACTTAACAGAAGCATATTAAAATAGCTTAGAAATGAATGTAGATAGCTAAAAGTAACCAAGATTGATTAATAACTTTAAAAAAAATATTAATGAATAAGGTTGGCAGATATTGGAAATACCAAAAATTGGCCTTATAGTTCTAATTTTAAGATCATCCATATTTATGTATTTTAATTACTTACACTGTGCACAACTGTAGATAGTTGACAATGGGAGTCTATATTTTAAAATATAGGTGTTTTCTTTTAATAAATGGGTGTTTCCTTTCTATAGAAGATAATTATTTGAAAGAATGCTTTGTTTGTAAAGCACACTAAATTCAGTAAATTGACCTAACATTTTTTTAGGTACAAGTGACACAACAGTATGCATAAATATAAAAGAAACTTTATGAAATTAGATTTAAACAATTGTGAATGTCCCCTCCTCCTTTCTCATCCTGGACTGGGGACCAGGCAATGGTGGAGTTACACAACACAATAAACACAATAATCAATAACAAACAAGTATAATTTTACAATCATAAAATAGGCCTATGTATAATGTATGTACACATTTACACAAACAAGGCAATACAAATTTATTTAATGTACATGTCAATGAAGTTGAAAAAGTTTAAAATCAGTTATATGAACCAGCATTTCTGTATGAAACAACACAGACATCAAGTAACAAGTAAATTATTCTAAAATGCAATGTTTTATGTACATATTTACACATACAAGACAATAAAATTGTAATCAATATACATGTCAATGAAGTTAATGAACCAGCATTTCTGTACAATGCAAAACAGAGGACAAGTAACAAGTAAATTCTTTAAAAAACCAATGTTTTATGTACATATTTACACATTCAAGACAATAAAAATTGTAATTAATGTACATGTAATTTAAGTTGGAAAAGTCAAAATTAAAAATATATACATAAACCAGCAGTTTTGTGTTTTTCAAACAGTAAGGTTGACATTAAATTGTCTTCAGTGTTCAGATTCACTGTGAAGTATTGCAATACCAAACATTCATTTCAGTTCAAATTTTTAAAAACTCTTGATGGTTTTAGCCAGACAACTTACCTCTGACAATGGACTATGTCAGTGGTATGTATTATATTGAATGGCAAACTGACAATGATGTTCAGAATAAACATGATGTGGTATAAAACAGATTAACATTTTGCAGTCAGCTACTGTAAACTTTAGCCAGACAACTTACCTCTGACAATGGACTATGTCAGTGGTGTGTATTATATTGAATGGCAAACTGACAATGATGTTCAGAATCAACATGATGTAGTATAAAACAGATTAACATTTTGCTGTCAGCTACTGTAAACTTTAGCCAGACAACTTACCGCTGACAATGTAATATGTCAGTGGTGTGTATTATATTGAAAGGCAAACTGACTTAAATTTTTAATTGTTTAAATCAATGTTTGGTATTGCAACACAACTGTCATTTTTACAAAATCGATAAACACATAACTGTGTAAAAATAAACACATGTAACAAAAAAACTAAGTAAAAATGTATGTACACCATAAGTATAGGACATGAAATATTAAAAAATTATATTACATAAAAAGAGAAACAACAAAGTAAAGAAGTATATACAATAGTGAGACTTTATCAGGGGTGGCCCAGTATAACATGGACACCTAGGCAGTTCTTAGGGACAGTCAACCTAACTAATAAACGTCATATCCCCTAGCAGTAAGTCCGTTACTATAGATTTCATTGTCAAGTCATAGTCTTCACTAGCTGTTTCTAAGTCATCGAGCCCCCAATAAGCTATCGTACACATAATACCTGCCTTCAACTGTCTAAAATCTACAAACCTACCAAAATACATTTTCTCTTCCCTCCCCTCTACCCATAAATGACTAACTAAGCTGCCTACAAAGGATTCTGACAGCTGAGAGACAGGGTCGTCTGTAGCTATAGATTTAGATACTAAATCCATAACCACAGCAGAAGCAGCAGAAAAGACATCAGCCCTCAGATTTTTAGCATCAAGAGCAGATCCAACCGCAGCCTCCAAAGACTTACGGTTGGATTTGTCTCTCTTCTGCTTATCATCTTTACGCCTCTGACTTATCTCCTGTTCTGTCAACTTCTTCTTCTCAACTGCCAGTTTCCTCGCCCTACTCCTTCACCAATAGCAAACTTAACTAGCTTCTGTCTTTCCTGTCCATCAAGTCTTAAAAGCCACCCGACATTAACCCTCCCTCTAATCTTACCATCTATAAAACCACTAGTCACATGGGGGGCACGTCGCAACAAGTAGTCCGTCATGCCCAAGATCCGCTCAGATGCCATGTTATGCGATAAAGCAGTTGAAGCTTGTGCCAACTGCTGGGGGGTGGGGTCAGACAGATCACCATGGGTGTATCAAGCTAACTTGCGATTAAATATGCTTGAGATCTCCTTCAAGATATTTGTCAGAGTCTTCTTTACTTCACCCCTGGGGGTTTCACCAATTTTGATGAGGGCTGACAACACCAAATCCTTGTCAGCACTAAGGAGCTCATTGAAGACATTCACAGTGGGTCTGACTAGCTCTTCTGGGTCATTTGAAAATCTCTCCATAACTTTTTCTGCCTTTTGAATCACTGGAACCATGGCCAAATTCTTGGTATCTGAATAAAACTTAGTCATCCATGGCCCAGTTATGGATTTTCCAATAAGCCCAAGAGCAGTGAGTTGAGCTATTACCCTAGGGTCATTTAGCTGCTCACCTATAGTTACTTTTAAACTGGATGTTCCTGAGTTTACAAACTCTTTGAGGGCATCCAGATGAAAAATGATGATGCCTGCTGAATGGAACAGGACATGCATCCGATTACCCACATACCGGACAAATTCTCCTACTACAATTCCTTTTTCTCTGCAAAAGGCCTTGAACCCACATGGGTCCCCACTGCTTTGTTTGTACCTAAGCTTTGATATGCTTAAAATACAGTTTAATGTCTTAGGGCCCATATCAACCTCCAGCGCTTTTTTAGCACCCATAGCTAATCCATCCAGGACATGAACATTACAGTTTAATTCCAGAAGGTGCGTGTCAAACAAAGTGCTGAGCTGAGTGACAGCACTATGATTGACAGACGCCCTATCTGTTAGTGTGGACTGTATTGAGCATATCAGTGAGAAATTCATCTCCTCAGTATTCTCAACATTCATAAATTTACAATAAATATTTACAGCATTTCTAAGTTCAACACTGATGTGTTCAACATAGTCCACGGCCTTGCCACCTGGTAAAGGTCTCACATCAAGAGCTAAAGTTTTTCCTGGAGCAGAAATATGGACTTCATTAATATGACTTCCATCAATGGTAGTAGCATCCCACGACAACGTTATGCTCTCATGAGATGCCAGTGCCTTAGCAATCTGCAGGTCAGCCAAAATGCCTATCTCATAGGCCATTTGAGCCACTGTAGACTGCTGAGGCACACAGTCAATTTCAAGTCCAGCTTCCTGCTCCAGGAAAAACTTTAGCAGCTGACCAGCAGCACCTACAGAGACATTATTTATGAGAGCTCTGTACATACAGATCCTCGTCTCTGTAGAATATGTCTTACCATCCATCAATGATATTTTTTTTCTGATTTTTCTGCCTTACTTTCTTCAAGTTCAGCTAACAAATAATCATACATCTCGCTGGTTTGTTTTACTGTTTTCTTTAACTGGGAAATAATGCTATCCTTTTCCTTCAGCTCCTGTTTTAAAGAATTTATTTTCCCGATCATTCTTCTTTTAGCCTCACTTAAGCTTTTAATTTTAAATTTACGTTGCTTTTCAATATTTACCACAGCTGGCTTACAAACTTTTTAAGGAGAGGACTTGAATGGTGAGGTCTTGGAAGGGGACTTTTGGGTGGGGGACTTTTGGGTGGGGGACCATTTGGGTGGGGACCATTTGGGCGGGGACTTTTTGGCTGTAGGCTTTTTATGTGCTGTTTTTAATTGGGCATTTATTTGTTTTTGTTGTTCGAGT